CCACCATCACTGTCGTCATCTCGGTCCGTCTCCCGCCTCAACGAGCCACGCCAGAAGGGAAACCAGACGCGAACCGACATCATCTCCTCCTCCACAGGCTCTGCCTCTTCCCCGCTCACCCACCCCGTCGGTACGATGGATGATGCGATGGGACCAAGGAGGAGGAGAAGAAGAAGAACGAGACGAGAGAAGAAGAGGAAAAACAGGCGCACCCACACACATTTCACACAGACAAGACACTCAGACACACACACACACACACACACACACACACACACACACACACACACACACACACGAACTGAAAACTGCAACAACAACAACAAAAGAACAAAACCAACGCTCGAAACCCGCTCTCCAACTTTAACCTCGAAGGCCACGGTTGCTTCCGATCATCCTTCTCATTCTCTTCCCACTCACTCTTCCCACTCACTCTCGCCACTCCCTCCCGCAATGTTCCGACCCGACTCCCGGCGCACGCCACCGCTACGTTCTTTTTGAAGGATTCCCGCGCGGACCGACTCCCAAAAAAAAAATAGGACCCGGCCACACAACAAATCTTAAAAAAAACGATGACGAGGCGGCGAATCAGAAGAGGGAGGGAGATGCGAAAGCGGAGAGAGACTGAGAGAGAGAGAGCAAGAGAGAGCTAAGGACAAGAAAACAAAAGAGCCATCTCTTCGGTGCTGGTGAGTCGGTGGGCATTGGTTTGGACAAAGAAAAAAAAAAAGACCTGCGGTGAGTTTATGGGCCGCGCGGAGCTTTTAGGGAAAGAAGAAAAAAAAAGTGTTTCGTTCATTGTGATGGGGATGGAGCCAAAAAAACGAACCACGAGAAGAGGGGAAAAAAAGGTTGTCAAAAAAGAAAAGGAGCGGCAAGAAAAAAAAAAGAAGACTTGGAAGATTCGTGGACGGTTTGGTTGATTTGGTTGGATGAATTTGTTTGTTTGTTTTTTTATTTCGAGACGATAACAAGAGATTTGGTGCGCAGGATCGAAAAAAGTTCTGGACCAGATGGGATCGCCGATCGGTGTGAAGGGTAAGGGGGTGAGTATGTGTCTGGAAAAATAACCCGTCCCGTCCCGCCCACCCACACAGGAATTATTATTCCTCCATCCGGCCAAACATGCCCTCGTCATCCTCGTCGCTGCGACCCCGCGAACGCTGCTGCCTCTCGTAATAGTCGTCGTCATCCTCCATGTCCACGTCTTCGTCGGCGTTGTTGCCGTGGCGCGATGTGTATGATGAACGCATCGACGCGGCGTATTCGTGTTGGCCCGGTGGTGTCGCAATCGTGCCCGGGCGAGAGTCGACGCTGTTGGCAAATCGTGCCGGTAGCGGAGGAACCGGCGGTACGTCTGGGGGCAGCATGACCGGCTTGCTGTGGGGGGTGCCGTAGCTGCAGCTTAACAGGCCGACAGCGGCGGCCAGATCGGCCTGGTCCTCGTCCTCGTATGCCGTGACCGAGGTGCCGGAAGTGGTGGGGCGGCCGTCGTAACTTTGCTGCCTGTAGAAGTTCAGAGACCCGTTGGGAACGCTGTCGGAGAAGACTGATTGGTTGGACTGATAAGATTGTGAGTAGGCGCTGCTGTTGCTGGAGAAGCGCTTGTTGGGGAAACGGCCGCCGGTATAGGAGCCGATGGGGGCATCGTCGTGCGGTGGAGGCGTTGTCTCTGCAGAGCTCATGCCATCATCACGGTAGTCTGACGAGCCCGAGGCCGCAGGGGAGGGCGACGAGTGGTCGCTCTCGGCAGTCTTTGCGGCTTCGGCAGCGGCGGCCTCTTGGTTCATGTTGACCAGCACCGAGGCGGCCTCAAGTAGCTGAACCTGTTGGTGTTTCGAGATGAGTAGCTTCGAGGTGATGGCCCATTCGGGAGTGTGTTCCCATCTGCAGAGAAGGTCAACATTTGGATCTCACGAGACGACGACAACGACACCAAGGGCGAGCTGGAAGGGCATTCGAACTCCGGCGTGTGAAGGTATGCGGGCTCGTCGTCGACCAGGGGATACTGACAGGTGCTTTGTGAGACAGCTGCTGTGCTTGTACCCTTTCCCACATTTTTCACATCGAAGTTCGCTACCACTTGCTCGCTTTCCGCCCTCCTTGGACACGCGCGAGCCCTCGCTCGCACGCCGTATCCGCGACTTGCTGCTGCCCTTCTCCGAGTCCGGGATCGAGGCCAGCGGCGGGCCGTCGGCCACGGCGGTCCCCCTCCCGTAGCTGCTCGGACCCTGAAAGCCCGAACCATTGTTCGGGAGGCTGCTCGGCATCGACGGGTAGCCGCCGGTCAGGGCCTGGGGACCGCGCGGCGCGAAGTGGGCTTTGGAGGTGCGGCGGGGGCCGGCGCTGTCGCCGGTGGCGGCGGCATTGCTGGCGGCGGTGGTCGAGACGCTTTTCCGGCGCGAGACGCGATGGGCGGGGTTGAGCGAGCTGGACAGGGAGCTGGAGTTGCCGCGCGAGTGCGTGTGCGAGTGCGAGTGCCGCGAGGGCAGGCTGGAGGCGACGGCGCCGACGGACGAGCGGTTCGAGGGCCGCGATATTTCCTGGGTCGGGGAGTCAGCGGTGGTATCCCGCCGGGAGCGGGGGCCGATCAGGAGACGTACCCTGGTGGCCGTCATGGCTGCAGGCGCCGATGTGGCGGGCGGAGAGGGCGAGATTGGAGATGGGAGAGGTTGTTTGGCGGTTGCACGGCGGCGGGAGGAATGCGATGTGTGCGGGAGAGAGTCGAAACAATTGTTGCGTCGATGGCCCAGGAGGCGTGCGATTAGGAGCGTGTCGTCCGTGCAAGCGGACCTTGAAAGGAAGCTGAGCGGGCGGGCCAAAAATTATGGAGATGCACTACAATGAAAGCGCCCCCGCACACAGTGCTGACGGTGCGACTTGCGAGGCAGGCTAGAGCGGCCGGGGTGCGATTACAATGCAGGCGTGAGACAGGCGATGGCAGACACAAAAAAAGTCGCTGGACGGCAGGGCGCTGGGCCGGGGCGGGAGCGTCAGGTAATCAATCAAATCAGCTGGACGGGCGTATGGCGCCAGGCAGGGCCCGCCGAACGTGACCAAGGCAGCGATAGGTACTGCGGCCACTGGCGGCTGATGCCCCCATGGCGCAACGAGGGGGATAGCGTGCTGCTATTCGGGGCTCGCGGTCGATAGCGGGCGGACGCGCTCTGGCCGCCCACGCGCCCGAGCTGCCCGAGGGCCAGGAATGGGGGCGTTGCACTGTTGCTCCGCTGATGCTCTGCGCGGCGCTGCCGTGCTGCTGCTGCTGCCGTGCCTTCGAGTGTTTGCACGCTCGCGGCCGCGCGTTCCTGAGCCCCGGTGGCTGCCAGCCGCTACTGGGCGGCGCGGTGTTCTGGCTGGCTGCTTCAGGCTTGGCCTCCTCCGCACTGGGTGATCCACGGGGCCGAGATCAGCGTCTTGCGCTCCCCCCTCTGCCGCCGCCAAAGCCTGCCCATGTTGTATTGGTTGCTCGCTTCGGCTGCTCGCATGGTGGAGCGCCGCTGCCCGCACCGCAAGCCAGAGCCCATCCCCAGCAGCGCGATCGTCCGCAGCGCCAGCAACGGCGGCGGATCGCCCGTCGCTGAACCGGTGCCCTGTGCTTGTCACTGGCCGTCACTGGCAGGCTGGCAGCTGGTGGCAGCCGCGCCACAGCCGCCCGCCCGGCCGGTGTCTGGTGTCTGGCTCGCGGTCCTGCTCGCGCTGCTCGTGGTGTGCTGTCGTCCGGTCTGCTGCGCCTATCATGTGCTGGCTAGCCCAGCCACCCGGAGGAGCTGCTGTGGGGAAATAATGACGCACCTGCCAGGCACTCGCCCCCCCGCCAAAAAAAGTTTCGAGGGAGAAAATGCCGAGGGAGAAAAAGGCCTCACCACGGCCTGCCAGCGCAGCCAGCGCGGCCTGCCCGCTGGGCCAGCAGCGGCCCGCCGCTGGCGTCGGCCGCAGGTACGAGCCGCCGTGCGCACGGCGATTGGCAGCCGCTGCCGCGCACGATACGTGTACTGTGTACCTGTCGAGTGTCAAGCCTGCTCCCCACATTTTCTGGGAGGAGACCGGTCCGTACGAGGCGCGCCTGCCCGAGCACGGGAGCAGCAGCAGCCTAGACTCGTTTGTGCCGCTGGCGTGCTGGCGGGCCCTGCGGAGCCGGGAACCCCAGTGCTCGGCTGCTGGCTGCTTCTGCGACACGCCGCTGAGACACCCGAAAAAGCAAGCGCCGCGATCGCATCGAGATCTCGACGGGTTTGTATTGCATTCGCAGAAAATACGATGCGTGCCCGGCCACGGCCTGCCTCCGCGCTGTCACTTGCGGCTAGCCGTGTGTTGGGCGGCGGCAGGGCGGCGGCGGGCTAGACCGGAGCGAGTCGTGCCACTCTCTCGCCGCATCCGAAACAAGAGGTGCAGGAGATGCACAAATTTGTATCGGCGGAATGCGCATTGCGGATCACGATTCCGATGCTTGCCAGTGGGGTCTGCGGCGGCAAGGCTGCGGGCACGCTCCGCTCCTCCTCTTCAGGCGCGATGACGCGTGCCCAGCGTGGACCTGGAATTATGCATACACAGTTACGAGCACTCCGCCACTCCTCCCAGGCCGCCCGAGGCTGTGCTCGATGCTCAGCGCCGCCGCCCGAGGCTGCCGCCTGCCGCCAGCCGCGCGCAGCGGCCACCACTTCTGCCCAGGCCAGATAAGATAATCAGCGGCTTACCTAACAGACCGGCACGTGATCCCAACACTCCACGAATCCGGAGGCGTCATAGTCCAGTGCCTCAGCGCCGCCGCAGACGGCTCTACAGGTGTACCTCCAGCTGCCCACCTTCCTGTTCCCGCGCGCATCGACTCGCCTATACGCCGTCCACACCGGTGAAGCTGATCCGAGCGCGTTATCCACCGGCTCGCGCGTCGCCCGTTCACCGCCTGTGCTCAGCGCGCAACCGCACCTGTTTCCGCCAACTCCATCCAGTTGTTCGAGCCCGCTCTATCCTACACCACGCGCACGGTATCAACTGCCATGGCCGATACAGGAGCAGCTGCGGCTCCCAAGCCCAGCAGCAGCGTGAAGCTGGTTCTGCTTGGCGAGGCTGCCGTCGGAAAAGTACGCCTCCTGCAAACACCGTGATAACGCCATCCGCTGCCGATTATCCAACATGCTGACGCCCACCTCGCGTGCAGTCGTCGCTGGTCATGCGCTTCGTCAACAATGACTTTCAAGAGAACAAGGAGCCCACCATAGGAGGTCCGCCCGCGCTCCGCCCTGCCCGTTGTTCTGCCCCCCCAGATAGACTGACATGACCCCCCGTACAGCCGCTTTCTTGACCCAAAAATGCAACCTCCCCACCCGCACCATCAAGTTCGAGATCTGGGATACCGCCGGCCAAGAACGCTTCGCCAGTCTTGCGCCCATGTACTACCGTAACGCCCAAGCCGCCCTCGTCGTCTACGACATCACCAAAGCCTCCAGCCTGACCAAGGCCCAGCACTGGGTTGCCGAACTCCAGCGCCAGGCCAGCCCCGGGATCGTCATCGCCCTCGTCGGAAACAAGGCGGATCTGGTGGAGGCCGACAGCGGGGATGCGGATGCGGAGGAGATTTCTTCTCCCACCGCTCCGGAAGCCCCGGCTGATTCTGCAGAGGCCGCCGGTGCGGAGGGCGCCGCGGAGGGCGAGGCTGGCGCCGAAGGCGGTGCCGAGGCGGCCGCCCCTGCCGCCGAGCCCGCGGCGGAGGACGACGACAACGACAGCGACGCGCGCAAGGTCGCCACCAAGACGGCCAAGGCCTACGCCGACGAGGAGAGCCTGCTCTTCTTCGAGACGTCGGCGAAGACGGGCCAGAACGTGGCCGAGGTCTTCACCGCCATCGCCAACGCCATCCCGGAAACCAGCCTGAAGGGCCCGCGCGGCGTCGGCGGCCAGTCCAGCTTGAACAGGGGAGACGATGCGCGGGTGAACTTGACCAACGCGCGGGATGCCCAGGGCCCCAATCAGGGATGCGCTTGCTGAAGCGGGAGGAGGGGAATGAATTGACGGTATACGGATAGGAGTAGTCGGATAGACAGGGGTGGGAAATAGTGATTACCTCACAGGAAAGGGCATGACGAAGGCTTTTTGGTTGGAACCCGCATTGATGTTCTTCTCTCTCTCCCTTCTACTTTGCTGGCTCCAGGGCCTTGTACATGCTTTTTCTACGAGACGTTCTGACACACTGATTTCATCTCCTTGCTTGTGCGGACTCGTAGAGATTCAATTGTGAAAGTAGGTTTGTCAATATACTGTGACCACGTTCGAAGAAACCCTGCCACTGAAACAAGGTTCTTGTTTACACCTATACGAGATGCGGACGCAAGGCACTGGCACGGACATGAGCATTCGGGTCCAGATGAAGCCTACGTGAAGCATCTTTCAATGCATTCTGATCTGGGTTATATCTACGTGTTTTGAAAACATGATGTCATCCTTCCCTATCACCCAGATCAGTCAAGCACCTTCTGCGACTTCCTCATCCTTCCCGCCGAATCGGCTTGCAAGGATCGCCCACCCTGGGAGGCCATTATGCAGGTGCATGGCGCTGAGCGGGGACCTCCTCGATGGGCTGAGGTCGGATATGGGGACCGGGGCTTGGACGCTAAATCCATCAACCCTGATCCCGGCCAACACCTCAGCTATGTTACTCGGCCTTTCGAAGAGGGAGATGCTTACCCCAACGTGGGTCAGGGGATGCTACGAGTTGCATGCCGATAGGCAGCTGAAGCCAATGGCTGTATGCAGATGTCTATACGGAAATTAATCGATAAGTAGTAGTTGAAGCAAGTGTCCGGGCGTGCTCATGCTATTAAAATCATACAGAATTCAGACGTCAGCTTCGGCTACTCTCAGCTATGACAAGTGCACGTTCTTACGAGACAAGGTTGCCGAAGCTATGTCTTTAGAACATGGAGTATATCACTCTCCTATACAGTCAAAGTAAATATGTTGCCGGAAACGAAACATTGGAATTTTAAGGTGAATATCACCGGTCCTCGTAAATCTGAATAAAGTGATTCTAAGGCATAATACAGTATATGCTGAATCATGCAAATATGCGTGGAGTAACTCATGCAAGAGCGGACTGCGAAATCTTCGCGACAAGCGAGATCTCGGACTTCTCCATTATATTTCCCAACTGTCACGCCCATGTACGTCGACCGCAAGATGGTGCTCTGGTTATCCATCTTGTTGTGGGCGCGCTTTGCGCTGGTATGTATACGTTCGGATACCATCTCTGCCCTGAGATCTGCATTTACTCACAACGCCCATCGGCAGCTCAAAAGAGGCGAGCGCCTTTGTCGTCTTACGCGACGTATTCCAACGTGGTCATACCAAATCTCGTGAGCGCCGGCACGGTAATCGCATTCGCTGCCAACGGAGACCAACAGTTCGACGTATCCGTACCAGCACTGTCGACCGCCGCCAACATAACCATTCATGATGTTACCAGCGGCTCCATCTCCCCTCGTTGACGGGCATTACGGATTCGCTGCTCCTTTCCTTTTGCAAGAGTCGAAGGGGAATCCATCTCCGCCAGAAGCTTGGAGGAACTCGGCTCCATCTTAACCACGGCCAACAACGAGTATCTGGTGAACTAATCATTCCCCGTACTGGCCACGGTCGACGCAGACATGAATCAATTCAACTGTACCAACCTGACACCACTCTCCTTTGGGGGATTATAGACCGCGGAAAGGATGGTAGGCTTGCAGAGAAAATTTACCGTGTAAGCCATATCCATACAATGTTCCGTTTGTAAAGATATTTGAACAAAAAGAGGGGGGAAAAGGAGAGACACAGGTAGATATAGACAAAGATAGAGTATAATAGCGGAAGACCTAACAATCTCGTCCTCCAAGTCGGACAAGGGGACATTGTCCGTCTTAAGATAGCCGTTCATGCAGCCATGTTTATAACGAGGGCTTATGCAACCACCACGACGGAAATCGTCACTGTGGCGGATGCCACACTTTTCCTGCGTAGGTACTTGAATCCAATACCTGGACGATTTTGTCCGTTTTCAAGGCTTACATGTATGTCCGGACTTTAGATCCAACTACCTCCATTCATGACATGTATGTACATCCGCAAATTACTAATGAATGCGAAGGATGATTGATTAGGTGGCATACCTACTGTTTAGTTGGAACTGAGCTAAAACAACAGCTTAAGAGGTTGAAATATACGACTACCGCTCAACGAAAACGTGTCTGCAATGCCTATGCCAGCCCAGACTACATGCCATACGCGTTGTACCACCATCAGCTCGTTCCGCTGATGGTTCCCCTATCCACCGATTCGACCATTTCCCACAGACGTTTCAACAACCGCCTTCATCTCCCAAACGAAGGCCCCGACGTCCGCGACCCGGCGTGCCTGCGCAAAATCCGTGGTATACCCTTCGCCGAAAAAAAAAAAATGGCGACCTCGCTGGAAAGTGAAGGAGAGGTTGATGTGCGGGGCGCACCCTACGATGACTACACTACGCCGGCGGCCAGGAGGACCCCTCTTCAGCACGTCTCCTCGTAAATGCCTGGCGGTGCATGGGCCAGGGCAAAAGGTCGTGTCGAGCGTGATGTGTAAGTAAGCTGCGTGCAGGCCCGACCATGATCATGGTTTCGGCATTGGCGTCGGAGTAGATGTATCGGGCGATAATCTCATCGAGAGGGAGGTTCATTCGGCAGGCGTGATAGGCATTTGTACATTATGCAATCCGGCGATATTGGAAAGGTCAAGTCTAGGGCTGGAGACTTCGAGCCCAAGCGGTCCTTCTGACGGCTTGAGATCCAGATGATCGGAACCCATGGTGGTTCGTAGTGGCGTTGGCACCGGAGTCTCGGTTTTGCTCGTCGTGGGCCGAAAAAGGTACTAAAGTACATAAGCAAGCTCGTGGTGTTAGGTTGGGAAGGGTCCAGGTAAGTGGAGACGTGATGCCATGGCGATGGGATTTAGACTGTTGTGACTGGAAACCATGACCACGATCACGACCACGACCAATCAACGTCCACCCGCCCAATCGGGCTACAAAGAAAAAAAAACGGGATCTCCCATCCTTGAGCCGACAGCCTTCCCCAGCCGAGAGATCATCCCCAGTCCCCGGAGAAAGAAGAAGATCTCCCCAAGGGTTGTAACTTAAGCTTGCGGAAGCTAAAAGAATGTACAGGGAGGGGAGAGTATAAGCTTGCTACTTTCGGTGAACCCCTTCCTTTCCCCCCAATGAAGTCATGGTCGGGACGCAAAAAGTGCAGAGTTGAATGCGATATCCGGACAAGCACTTCGAGTAGTCTTGGGTTGACACTGCAATCGGAAAATATCAAGATATTTGCCCTAGCGCCTATGATATCTTTACGAGAGAAACAACGGCGACGAAGCCACCGTGTAGACAAGGGCTTGCGATAAACCTGAATGTGTCTGCGTGGAGGCTTCGGCTGTGCATGTCGCCTGGGCCTGCCGAGCGTCTTGGATATGGAAGCACTTTTGGCAACTCCTGGCGGGAATGAACAAGGTCCCCGTTTCACATTAACGTCCAAGCGGGCCTCCGAGGACTGAGTCATGTGTGCGAGACTTTCGTCATGCAAGAACAAGGGCCAAGCGTCAAAAGCGGGCGCAATGAAACACCAAGGGGCAGTAGCCACCACATCGTCGATAAGAGGGAGCAGAATTTGTCAGAACATCATCATCACTTCTATTTTTTATTGGAAGGATAGAAGTAAATCTAGCAATCCTCCCTTCCCATGATTCGTAAACCGTCAGAAAAGTAAGAAATGCCGCACCGAAAATCCTTCACGAAACGCTAATCTCGAGAGGAAAAAGAAAAAAGAGGAACCTGGGTAGGATCCGCCTATTTCTTGGAGGCCTTCTGGGCCGCCTTGGTGACCTTTCCGGCACCAGCCTTGTCGGACTTCTCGACGGACTTGATGACACCGACTACAGTACGTTAGCATGAGATCACGGGGAGAGGGGCCGGGTTGGATACGTACCGGCAACGGTCTGGCGCATGTCACGGACGGCGAAACGACCAAGCGGGGGGTACTGGGTGAAAGCCTCAACGCACATGGGCTTGGAGGGAATCATCTTGACGATGGCGGCATCACCAGACTTGATGAACTTGGGGCTGTTCTCAATCGACTTGCCGGTACGGCGGTCGATCTTCTCGAGCAGCTCAGAGAACTTGCAGGCAATGTGGGCAGTGTGGCAGTCCAGGACAGGAGCGTAGCCAGCACCGACCTGACCGGGGTGGTTGAGGACGATGACCTGGGCGTTGAACGAGTCGCAGCCCTTGGGGGGGTCGTTCTTGGAGTCACCGGCGACGTTGCCACGACGGATCTCCTTGACGGAGACGTTCTTGACGTTGAAGCCGACGTTGTCACCGGGAACACCCTCGACAAGCTGCTCGTGGTGCATCTCGACGGACTTGACCTCGGTGGTGACACCAGCGGGGGCGAAGGTGACGACCATACCGGCCTTGATGACACCGGTCTCGACACGGCCGACGGGCACCGTGCCAATACCGCCAATCTTGTAGACGTCCTGGAGGGGCAGACGGAGGGGCTTGTCCGAGGGACGGACGGGGGTATCGATCGAGTCGATGGCCTCGAGCAGAGTCTTGCCGGTCGACTTGGTCTTGGTCTCCTTCTCCCAACCCTTGTACCAGGGGCAGTTGGGGGAGGCCTCGATCATGTTGTCACCGTTGAAGCCGGAGATGGGGACGAAGGGAACGGTCTTGGGGTTGTAGCCGACCTTCTTGATGAAGTTGGAGGTCTCCTTGATGATCTCCTGGTAACGCTCCTCAGACCACTTGGTGGTGTCCATCTTGTTGATGGCGACGATGAGCTGCTTGACACCGAGGGTGTAGGCGAGCAGAGCGTGCTCACGAGTCTGGCCATCCTTGGAGATACCAGCCTCGAACTCACCAGTGCCGGCAGCAATGATGAGAATGGCGCAGTCGGCCTGCGAGGTACCAGTGATCATGTTCTTGATGAAATCACGGTGACCGGGGGCGTCGATGACGGTGACATAGTACTTCGGGGTCTCGAACTTCCAGAGGGCGATGTCGATGGTGATACCACGCTCACGCTCGGCCTTGAGCTTGTCAAGAACCCAGGCGTACTTGAAGGAACCCTTGCCGAGCTCAGCGGCTTCCTGTAGTGGCGTGCGTTAGCTTGTGGTCATACGAGAGCACCTGAGTGGTCAGGGCATTTCTCGCTAGTGAGGGGCGTGTCGGCCTGACGCCGGTCGCAAAAAAAGCGAGTGCGGCCAGTTTGCCGAGCGCAGACGAGGCTTAGCGCGGGCCAAACCCCACCACGCAAAATGCCCCTCACCAGCGCGATGATAAGACGGGCTGTGCGCAGCAGCACCGCACACGTGCAGGAGCGAGAACAATCGGCTTACCTTCTCGAACTTCTCGATGGTACGCTTGTCGATACCACCGCACTTGTAGATAAGGTCTGCGATGCATGTGAGCCGGGTGTTGCGTCGACGTCATGGGGCGGGCGGGGGCAACTTACGACCGGTGGTGGTCGACTTGCCAGAGTCGACGTGGCCGATGACGACGACGTTGATGTGAGTCTTTTCCTTACTGCGGCGCTCGTCAGTGTGTGCTGGGGCGGTCGAGGCCGTCGTGGTGCGACCGGCGGCCTGAGGCGGGCGGCGACGTACCCCATGATGACGGTGTGGAAGTGTGTTCTGGAACTTGGAGTTGAAGTAGGTTGAAGTCCTGGGCGGCAGTCAGTACAATGGCCGAGGCAGAGCAGCAATGGCGGGGTGGGGCGTACACAGGTACGAATGCCGACGATTCGAGGTGTGTGAGACGAAGAGGAAAAGAAGAGGTGGTGGAGGGGCGCTGGAAGGTTTTTATCGGGCGCGGGCGGCGTGGTGGGGGCGCTAACTAAGCAGGGAAAACTTTTGTGCCCTACCTCATGCACTGCCAGCTGATGGCGGGGCAACCTTGCGGCGGCGGCCCAACAAGCGCTCGTCTGATGCGCTGTTCACGGTATGACTCCCGTGGAGTCTACCTCTGCATCCACGGCGCCAGAGGCCACACAATTGGGTCTCTTGCCTGCCAGTCGCGAGAGCTTCTCACCGCACTGCAGGCCTTTTGCAGATCCGGTTGCCACACGCCGTCCAGAACCACCGTGACTTGCAGCAGCCTGCCCCTCCGGCGGCAACGTGCAGCGCCCGCTCTGTATCGCGCGAATCTCGCGACTCCGCCTGTGCAGTCGCGACCCCCCCGCCGGCTTTCCACGCGCTCTGCAACGCTGCGGGAGTCAAAGCTTTGTGGCGCTTGGTGTTGCCTTCGCGCTGAGGATCCTCTGCGCGGCCACGGCCGGTGCCCCCCCTCTCTCGCGCCCTCGCTTTGGTCACCGCAGAGCATGCACCGCTCCGCTCACCGCGGGCGGCCGCGTCGTGGGTGTACCACACACAGCTCAGCAGCAGGCAGCGGCGTCAAATTTCCCATATGGCTGTGCGGCTCACCCCGCCGGTTGAATGACTCTTTCGGGCGCCGTTGGAATTTGCAATGACGTCGGCGGGCCGCGCGGGCAAAAAAAAAATTATTCTGCCACCGTGCTACCGCGCAGGGACACCGGCGCGTGCGGTCTTTGAGTCTTCACACCAACAGCCAGCATCCTTCGTCTGCGTGCAAGTGGCGAGCAATTATTTATACGTCTACATGTTGTACACTTTTATCCTCTAGACATTGCAGCCATGACTCCCCAACTCCTGCCCCGTGCCTTTTCTTGTGTGTACATGCCCAGAGGCCTGACCAGCCCCAAAAATGGCTCTATGCAATGTTGATCATGTAGCACTCCTCGCAGCCTCTCTGATCCTTTAATTCTCGCCCGCCTTCAGCGGGGCGTCGATATCCCTAGGGCGTGCGTTGGCCTCCTTCGCCGCCTGGGAAGGAGGCTTTCTACTACCATCATCGTTGATGTATCTGATGTTGGCGTGCAGCGGTTCCTCGAATCGCCCCTCGAGCGTGAGCCTCTTGATGTTGGAATGCCACTCGTGCTTCGAAATCTTCGTCTCAGGAAGCAGCAACCTGTCATGCACAGCGTCGTTGATCTGAGATGCCACATTGAACGCCTCTTCGACCAGTCCCGGCACCTGTTTCTGCAACTGCTCCGCACCAAGGGCAGGCCTCCTGATGCGTGCACGCAGCTCGCCGTGACGTCCACCCATCCTGCCGCCTTCGACAGAGGTGTAGGAGATGCGGTGTTTGCCGTCCGGAAGGTCGTATCTACACATCTGCCTGTGCTCAACAGTAGTCAAGATGAACTCCTTGATGTATTCTTTGCCCTTGTCTGTGTATTCGAATGGTAGCGAGCTGTACTTCTCCTGGTTCCTTACAGCCCACGCGGGAATGCGAAATGTCAGCGATGGAGGAGCTCGAATGGTTCCTCCAACGTCTAGACTCGTACTGATTTGCACGAGGTAATCTCGGATCTCATTAGAACGGTCCAGACTGAACTCGGTCCAAACGACTTCACGATGCGTGAAACGGACATCGATCGGCTTCTCAGGCATCAGAACGTCCACGTTTCTCTCTCGGGTCGTCAGACCCAGACCTTGGTATCGTGCTTTGCCCGTTCGTTTGTCGAACTGGATCCGCAGGCCCAACTCCCCGAAATCCTCCAATGAAGAAGAGTCCTCGATGTCCCAAGGAGACGGCATGAAACGGAAGAGAAGAGCGTCGGGATACTCCGGGTTAAGCCGTGTGGTAGATGCGAGATGTTGTAGATAAGGACTGAATCCAGGGATGGAATGGAGGAAGACACGACCGTGGTTGCCGCTGTGTTCGAGTATGTTTGGAAGGGTTGTTGGCGATAGCGAGTCGTTGGTAGAAGGACCTTTGTGAAGGACATTGCCGAATGTGGCATAGAATTCAATCAGCGCAGAAGACTCCCAGTAAGACTTCTTGGTTTCCTCGGCTGAGTTGTGAGCTTCCTTTGACACATCGCTGGAACCGTCAAGCCGCGACGTGAAAAATTGGACAACTTGCTCAGCAAGTCGTGGCTGGCCGTCCACATCGTGAGCTTCTTTTGGTCCATCGTCTGGAAGATGGTCAGGGTGTGCCTCCGTCGAGGTAGTTGTAGCGCTCTCCAAACTTTCTGATGCAGGCTCTTCATCCAAAGGTTGATTCTTCTCTGCCTTGACGGAGTCCCTTTGAACTGGAAAGGTCCAACGTCGGTAATTTTTCTTTCTATGCCGGTAGTGTAGTGCACTTTCAGAGGCGCAGAACTGCAAGAATCCTTCTCCTTCAGCATCGGTCAAAACTCTGGTCTCAGCGCCGTTGGGATGCCCTATCAAGCTGAGCAGAAGCCGTTGTGCCAACTCAACATTATGTTGCACGCCATAGATTGTCACCTACAGAGTCAGCGATGATCAGTCTGATGGGAATGCTCGTTCTTACCGAGGAATCTGACGAGCTATCGATGACGGTGTTGCTCAAACTTGCAATGACTTCGAAGTCCTTGGGCGAAAAAAAGTCTGTCAAACGCTCCAAGTCGCGCCTTTGACGAAGCCATTCGAAGTCTTCCAGGTTGAACGTCTTAACTTTAAATTGTCTCATAACGCGCTCGATATCGGTGACGGCTTGCTCGCTTTGCTCCCTCTCTGCAGTGAACCGAAGGATATGGTCAGGCCGGTAAGAGTCAATCTTGATGTTTCGTTGATGTCCAATATTGTCGAGGATAGTGTGATCTCCTTCTGTAGCGACGAGTTAGTAAAAACCCATCGCCCTCCAGTCAGAATGAGACAGCCTTACGTTTCGAGAGGGTAAGAACATCAAACTGCCACGGTTCGAGCTTGACCTCAATCTCGCCCACAGCCATGCTCTCTTCGATGACTCCCACGTTCCACAGCCGTGTCACGATCCGGTCGATGACCTGCATCTTCGGCAGCTTCTCCACAGGTACATCAGCCCTCTTGGCTTCGGGAAGCCTCTCCTCAATCGGCGAGACGCCCTGCTGCCATGCCGACTGCCACAGCACGCTCGGCACGGCGTGCTCCTCCCTCTTCAGCTCCCGCAGCTGGCCCAGCCCCTCTTGCACGGCCGCATACCTCCTCAGCTGCGCCACCGCATATGCGTTCTTCAACGCCTTCCGCAGGTCCTTGAGCGCCTCACGCGTGATGAACGCCGGGTAGTACAGGCCCTCGGCCGACACGGGGCGCAGCTTGTTGATCTGCTCGTTGATTTCTTCCTGCCCGGCCACGGCCGACTGCCCCGCTATCGAGGCCTCGATCGTCTCCCGTATCTCCCGCCTGCGTCTCGCCGCGTCGTCCTCTCCCCCGGCCGCGGGAGCGGAAGCGTCGTCTTCCTGCTTCTCCTCCTCCTTCTTTTCCGGTAGCGGCGTGAGGTCCCGCAGAATGAGTACTTCCGAGTCCTCGCCCAGGTATTGCCGCCGCAGCGGTGCGGATGTCTCTTTTATCGTCTGACCCTTGCGACCGCGCCTCACGGGCTCTCGCGGCCAGCGTCTGGCTCGTGTTGCAGGGTCGGACTCGATGGTGCGGATGATGGGAGTGTATGGATTGTGCTGCTCAAGCTCTCGACGGATCTCGAGTTGAGCGACATCTGAGAAACCGGTTGGCTCGGAGGCTCGTAATCGGCGGGTAGTGCTTGTGAAAGTCGCAGCGGACGAGGTCGAGGTCGTGATGGCTGTGGCGAGAGGTGCAACAGGCGCGCGTCCGAGGCGCAGCAATCGCGCCTGGTTAAGTCGGCATCGTAGACATACTGATGCGCCCAAGGACCGCTGGGCAAGCATAAGGAAAGGCAAAGAAAGCTAGAGTTCTGCTGAGATGGAATTGGCTGCGCAGTTCTTTCCCTTCCCGAAGGGCGCAGCAGCAGCTTTGCGCGCGTTCGGCAGTTTTTTGGGGCCCGGCGAGTCGGGAGTCCGACACGCCGCCGCGTCGAGACCCTCCCACGACCACATCACAGCATTACCCGTCACAGCTGTCCAGAAATATGTATTTCGCTTTCCAACCGCCTGGTTGTTTGGCTGTCCTGTACAGAAATCTAAATCCCGTGAACATCCCCGCAACTCCGCCCGATGCAATGCGACGATGTAAAAGAACCGAACACCCCTCCCGTATGCACTCCACCAAGTCGTCCATAGATCTCCTTCCGGTGCCCTAGCCCGCAGCTTCCACCAGGATCCTCTTCAGTGCACGGGGAGCGACCAACTTCTCAGATCATCTCGAACGTCAAGTTCTTCGACTTCGTTGGACGGTCTGGGCCTTGCCATTTGTGCCTCCGCTTTCATTTGATTCGCCTGTTGCTCCAGACTGGCCCTCCCACGGATAGAAAGTCCACGCTCGTGACCAACCATTCGTACCTTCTTGAGCGTGTCTTGCGACTTGTTGCTTCCTTGGCTAGGAGTGACTCTGTGCCATCCGCGCAGAGGAGATCGGGATCCACTATCGCTGAGAGAGGTGCTGTCCGCTTCCACACCCAAACGATCGCCCATATGCTTGCCTTCTGTATTGCCCCAGCCGTCTCCCCCACTGAAAATGTCTTCGATACACTCGTCGGCGCGGAGTTCCCCTGGTTGCGCAGCCCAGAACGCGATTTCTGTCCGGCGGTACATATCTTGCAGTTCTCCGTCGGCGCGGCTGTTCTTGCTCAAAGTTGGCAGATCTGGAATAAAGTCAGCCAAACTCGCCGGACGGGCTCGACACGCATACGGCCAGATTCGTCTCCTTCGACCTGTTCTCCAGCTATGATCCCAGCAATCCCTCCAAAGACTTGGGCATTCTTCAACGAGGGGCTGCGTCACGTTAGCACCAGGACTCCCCGGCCGTGAGGTGCGACTCACGCGATGTAATCCCTGTCTCCATCAATCTGCCTCATATAGATTCCGATCTGCCAAGTCAGCGCAACCCGCACGACGGGAGTTCGACAAAGCCAACCTTCAAAGTGCTGTTGATCTTGCTCTCCTGCATGAGATAGCGGCGCACGACCCCGGCGGCCTCGAGCTCGCTGGCCTCGACATATTCGGCCAAGTTGAGATCGACCTTGCCCAGCACGATCCTGTCGCTCTTGCCGCCGGCGCTGTACTCTTGTATGACTTCAAAGTGCATCCAGGCATCTTCGAGCATCTTGGACTTGTTCTGGATGGTGATGCGCACAGGGATGTGCTTCTCGTAGACGTAGAACACCTTGTGCTCCTTGATGGCGCGACGCTCGGTGCGACCGCGGTGCTCGGCGGCAGCGGAGCCAGGGATGTGCCATTTTACGTAGGATATGCCAGAGACGAGCGGGACGTTGTTCAGGTCCAGGATCTGGGGGGCGCGCGGGGGGGTCAGGGACAAAGCGAGGGGCAGGGCGGCGGGCGTGGGAAACGCACTCTGAGCTGGAGGTCGAACTTGGGCTGCAACGGCAGTCAGCAGGGGGGGCGTGGAGATTGGCAGCGGTGCGGTTGGGTCTTACCCGACGGTGTTTGGGGACTGCGAGAGCCGTCAGCGAGTCACTCGCCCATGCGACAGACTTGCGCCGCGGAGCCATTGGCGACGGAGAAGCTCACCGAAAGCTTGCATGGCTGCGACGGGCGGCGGGCGGCGGGCGGCGGGCAGCTTTATCGGACACACGAGGCTCGGAGCAGATCTGACGCTTCCTGATCTGTCGCGGTCACGTCGTCCGTACAGGGCAAGGCGCTGGCCGCGGAATGGCAGGGCTGGGGGGTGGAATGGGGACGGGAGTGCAACCGAACGGCGCGACCCTCAGTCCAGCCAGTAGTGGAGCCCCGTCCCCACGAGCACACGCCCAGCGCAGATGACGCGCGACCGCCGAGCCGACAGCGTCCGCCCCGGCCCTGCGCTCTGCACACAAATCGCGCGGCTACACAGTACACCTCTGACGCCCGCCGTTCCGCGCCTTCGCGATGCCACCCGCGCCCGCGCCCGCGCCCGCGCCCGCCGACGTCCAGGCCTGTGTGCTGCGCGCCTTCGACGGGCTGCCCGCCAAGTGCAAGCCCCGTGCGCGCGACTCGCACGCCCGCGAGTGGGTGCCGCTGGCAGGCGTGGTGCTGGCTCGAACCACAGGTACCGACATCACACGCTACGCGCGCCTTATCAGTCGTGTGCCCGTTTCGGCTGACGCACCAACGTGCCATGGGGAGCAGCAGATGGCCGACCCACTCTGACCTGCGTCGCTCTGGGGTAGTCCGCCTCCCACGGTCTTGTGCGCTCCACTGCGGCTCGGACGGCTAAGCGTGAAGATTGCAGGACGGGCATGAAGTGTCTCCCCGCCACCAAGGTGCCCGCCGCCCACGGCGTCGTGCTGCACGACTGGCACGCCGAGGTGCTCGCCCTCCGCGCCCTCAACCGCTTCCTGGTCGACGAGTGCGCCGCCCTCGTGTCCTCGGGCGCTCTTGCTTCGGACTTTGTCGTGCGTCGGGACGCGGCCGAGATATCGCGGACTGTGCCGCAGCCATTCGCTCTCCGGACCCAAGTTGAGATCCACATGTACTGCTCCGAGGCGCCATGCGGCGATGCCAGCATGGAGCTAACCATGGACGCTCAAGAGGACCCCACGCCCTGGTCGCTGCCCGCAAATCCGACGCCCGCCGCCTCCTCTTCCGATGCCGACGTTGTCCTGAGAGGAAGAGGTTATTTCTCGGAGCTCGGCGTCGTTCGCCGCAAGCCTGGTACGTCGCCGCCGAATGTCGTGTCCTATATCTTATTGATCCAGCCTGCATATCAGCTCGCCCCGATGCCCCGGAAACCCTGAGCAAATCCTGCACCGACAAGATTGCGTTGAAGCAGTTCACCTCGCTTCTTAATGCTCCGGCCGCCCTTCTCCTGGACCCGCGGACCGCCTACCTTCGCACTCTCATCCTGCCCGAGTCCCAGCACGTGCCAGCTGCAACTACACGTGCCTTCGGCTCTTCAGGAAGGATGGCCCCGTTGGCGGCTGAGGGAACCGAGATGCGGTCACACGGCTACTCTTTTCGGCCCTTTGAGGTTCAAACCGTCTCGCAGGAGTTTGAGTGGTCAAGAAGAAGTGCTTTGCCGGAGCAGAAGCTTGTCCCTTGCAACCTGAGCGCCCTGTACACTCCATCGCACAGAGAAGTCATCATCAATGGCGCGCTCCAAGGAAGGAAGCAAGGTGACGTAAAAGGAGCTAGCGTGGTCTCGCGCCGAGCAATGTGGAGCGCTGTAGCTGGCATCGCCAAGTGTCTGGGCTGCGATGCCATCCCAGAAGTCATGGAGTTGTCGGGTCTGCTTGCTGATAGCAAAGACTATGCTACTTTTAAGAGAATCCCTCTGTTGCTGGGGCGTCAGCAAGTGAAAGACCTTGCAAAGGCAGACGCACTGCGCGGATGGGTCAACAATGTAGCTGACGATAGCTTCAGTATAGACTGAGACTTTTGATTGTAGACGCATGTAAGCCACGGAGTAGCCCGTTTTGTATGCTTGCGGTCGGACAGCTTCGACGCGGCAAGTTGGAATATTATCATTGTTTACGTCCTCTGTAGATGCGCAAAATCCCTTTGTGAGTCTTCGTACCAGCTTTTGCATTCATCAAGTCCAAGTAGCGTGGTGCTGGCAGAGGTTACGGCTACAGCGTTGCGGGGGAAGCTCTCGCGCATTACCGGATTGGGACATGCTGATAACCTTAAAGCCTCGTCATGTCAGCCGGGCCCTCTGCCGGCTTCGTCGAGTTCTTCCGTGCTCTTCCCTCGGCCGCGCTCTCCGTTGCCTCCTCCGCCGCCTCCACCGCCATCCACACCGTCTGGATTGTATGATGAAGGGTGGTTCTGGAACCGTTGAGTTCCAGAACCGGCTACCTATGGCAGGAACCCGAACCTGCCTGCTGACCGTGACATCTCCCGGCTTAACGGGTTGATAAATTTCGTTATGTTACTAGACTCACGGTAGCTATAGTACAAATGTAAGGCGGTATAGAAACGAAAAAAAAAAAACTCTCGAAGCCCGTGTCCCGCCTCCGGAAAGTTATCACAATAAGTTAAAAAAAAAAACAAAAGGGAAACACGCTCTTATTACCAATACGTAGTAACGTGGAGAAACTCTAGAGGCGGGCATTATAGAAGCGGAAAAGGAAAGGGTAAAGAGTGGGGATCTAGGGGATCCCGTTCCGCTTACATTGACCCGGCTTGGATATCCGTGTGCAGCCTGGGCTGTTTGTGCTGCTCTGCATGGCTTTACCAACGATCTGCCGAGCTCAGAGACGTCACCACAGACAAAAGCATTGGGCGACCTCAAGCTGTATGTTGCCAGAGAAAAATATATCAACGATGAATCATCGCAGCAATGAGGCTGTAAGGACCAGAGTGGTTGACATTGCTCATGGTCAGACAAGCGATCAAGTGGTTGAATCCGATGAAGAGTCGCCGAAGCTGAAAGACAAGGAGATGAGAAAGTAAATTAACTTCTACAAGCAATCCTTTTACTTCATGATAGCACAGTACAACGCCTTGCTCGACTGGACGCAGTAATACCACGCAGAAACACCAGCGGAGTTCTTCCAAATCATCGATCAGAACTCTCAGAAGGCCCGCGGCAAACATGCCACGACTGCTCGCAAGAAAAATGCTTTGGGAGGATATCTCAACCAACGAGCTCTGGAGTATTACGTGCCCTCTAGTATAGGCTGGGTTCGCGCCTCAACTAGCGTATATCTCTTTCGTTGATATAGTCCGCTATTTGTCGAAAGTACTTCCACGTCTACGTATGCTTTGTAGCTTGAAGCTGGGATCTTCAATTTCTTTGCGAGACGTCTTGGTATCTCCCAGGCAAGATGCACGTGTGTAAGTTTTGTCATGTGGTTGATGGGTTTGTTGCCCAAGCGGGCTTGCCGATGGTGTTTGTCACTCTCGCCGGACGGGCCTGAGGCGAGATACATCTGTAGGTGTGTGTGCTGGGTGGTGTGGAAGGGATCACTGGCACTGAATATGTAGATACCATAGTTCGCAACCACTTTCCCTCTCTTGCCCCAGCAAAATATGTCCATGAGATCTTCCTCTCTGATGGCGTTGCTTCACATGTGCTCAACACCAAAAAAACGGCCATCACGATACTCCCCAGAGACCGTTTCCAGTCCACGCACCGGTGCATTACATGCGCCAAGCGAGTCTTGATCTGCATGTAGATGTTGATTTGAAAGTCGGCCACGCCTCACAGATATAAAGCGCATCCACGATAGCGAATTGTGAGCGTTGTTAAGAAAAATCATTTCCTATGTACTTCCATTCTGCCGTTACCGCAACTCCTGCCCTGTGACGCTAGCACACTAGAAGTCTAGCATCGCTCCTCTACTCCGCTCGGTCCACCATCCACTCCACATATGTTCCACGGCGAGGACGTTACAGCCTACCAGCCAGTCATCCAACCACCTGGAAAATCCACAACCGCATGACTTCATCCTTCTCTACACGGCCAACGAAGACCCAGGGCAGACAAGCCGTGCAGCACAGCAGTATTCGAAACGCCACGTCGGCGTGAAGGCAGGGAAAGAGCACTTGCATAGAGAGAGGGAGGGAGGGAAGTCATCCGCTCGACCTTGCTCTCCCTGCCGATGGGAGAGAGAGAAAAAAAAAAGGTCAAACCCCGCCAACCAACACTGCGGAGAGTCCGGGATAGCACATGGCAATCGTATGATGATTGCAATAATGGCCAAGACACATCTTCCTCTGCACGTTCTCAGAGAGATAGAGGGTGGTGGGTGGTCGGGCGGGAATGCATGCGAACGTCGGGCTCGAAGCAAGGGCGGCAGCGGTTTGCATCAAAGGCCTGTTCTAGATCTCAGGCTAGACCGTCCACTGGCGTTTGAGGAGCAAGACATCAGATGATATCTTCACGGGATCCCCTCACTCCCCCGCCAGTTCGCAGCACAAAAAAAAACCTTATCGAAAAGAAGTCGGCTAGAAAAAAAAACCACTCAGAACTTCTTCCCTTGCATCAGCTAGTCCGTACATACGCCGATGATAAGAAATCTTTTACCCTTTCTTTCGACGTCACTTGAAATGCTGGGGGGGCTCCCTGGGATAGTAACGAAGGAGGCGTCACAGAAAGTTCTCGAGACCAGCGCACGGTTTGAATGGGGTCGTACGCCTTTTTTTTTTGTTCCTCACGATTGGATGTCATCTGCTCTCACAGACACATTTGAAAATTTCAAAAGGGTCCACAAGGGAGCAGCGCGAGGAATGTGCGGGGGAAGAAAGAAGGGTCCCGAGACTGTCTGAGTCTCGCAGCTAAGCGACGAAGGGATGGGCTGAGGCATACGTATAGCGCATACGTGGACAAGGTGACGCAAGCGCACCAAAGCCACTCATCGTGTGTTTCTTGCGCAAGAGAGAATCAGAAGAGGAGGGAGGGAGAGAGGGAGAGAGAGATAACGAAGAAACGGCTGTGCACCGATGATACGAGGCAAGGAAAAGTTTAAAAAAAAAGATTGGGGCGAGCGAGGAAAGCAAACGACAAAGCCCAAGCCAGCCTTCCTCCTCGTAGCGCTATGACCAGCTCGGAATCCCCCAAGAAGCACTACATTCAGATGCCCAGACCCTGTACGAACGTAGTGAACTATAAAGTTTCCCACGTGCTGCTGCGCCATGCTTGGAGGGTGCGCTAGAACGCAGACGAACAAATATGCAATAATGCAGCAGAGTGGCAGATGATCTGTTCTCCCTTATTAACCACCACCCCAAAAGAGAGACGAAAATGAAGCTTGTTACCGCACAGACGCAGCAGCGGGGATAGCGAAAGAAGCATGATGTATGTGGCAGTACAACCCCATACCCAAGGCCGTCCGTGCCCCTTGCATGTTGATTGCACCGCCTCGCTCGCAAAAAAGCAAGAGCCAGCAGGAAACCCAGCGCACAGGCAGCTATGTAGTTTGCGGAAAGGGCACGCGCATATGCGATCGTCGGCCCGTTTTGCCCATCGATGTTTGTGCAGCGCGCGCCGCCCCTTTCTGACGTACCCAGATCAGGCAATCAAGGTAGCACAGATCCGTAGCCGGCCCCCGCCAATGAGGAAAAAAATAGAAGTCCCAGGCCATCGTCCCGGATATTATGCTATAGCGCGCTCCGCACGCATAAGATTTGCCGTCATTTTGCCAGCTTCCAACCTTTTGCCGATGGCATTTGGTCCATGGGGGCGTGCAGCGACATGTAGCCTGCAAGAGTTCATCGTCGATATTGCGCTCCATCGCTCATGTTAGCGTGATTGGAACTAATGTGAGCTGTGGTCGTACCGCGCTGGAGGGTTGGTGGTAGCTGGAGGTGGAGATATGCTTGTTGTGGCGGTCAACGCCGCTGCAGCTGCATAGATTGAGCCTTGCAGTAGTCAGCCTGTATGGGTCGCGAGATAGCCAGCCTGGTTTAATGAATTCTTAGCTGTAAATTAGAGTTCTGCGGGCCAAGACCAGCGTGCAGCTGCAGCTGCGGCAAGAAATGGAATGAAGTGCTGCTGCTTGTAGATAGTTGGAGTCGCACAACATGGCTATCTTGGATCCATCCAACGACACAGCAAAAGCAACCTCAGCCTCCCGTACGTGCACTCGACACTGGCGGAAAAGCGGCAGTCGCTCGGCCAAGTGTAACAACTTCTCAATCAACAGTAACAATTGCGTATAGAAAATCTGGCACACTTGCTTCTCGTGGCGTCGTCACCCGTCGGGCTCGCCTCTGCTTTGGGCCAGTGTTCAACAACGCACAGAGGTGCACTTGTCGTCAATGTTTGAAGAGGGTTTGTTGTGGCTGGTGGAGCGCACCGTCTGCGCATATGCGTGCGTCGGCGGTAAGGCGTTGCAGGCTGATACGCAGCTGAGGTGCAATAGGGACGACTGCCAGCATGGGTCTATCAGGTAAGTGGGGGATTTCACTACAAACTTTGTCTGAGAACATCCATGGGCTTGATGTCATGGCTGTCTGCTTCTTGGGCGGCGCGGCAACAAAGTGGCAAGAGAGTCGGCGGCAGTGCATCGTCGAGCTTGATACCTTGCATCATCATGGCCGAAGTGATGAAGCGAGTCAATAGCGTTTGAGGCCGTGGTCAGACAGTAGGGACGCTTTTTGGCCAAGCCGGGAAGGAGAGAGAGCGAATATATGGTTTCGACGCTGATCCAAAACTAAGCCTTGCGGCTTCGAAACTTGGCAGTGGTCTGGACGTTGGGCGCATGACTGCTGACGACGGTGAAAGCCGAGCTCCGTGGTCATTCGGCTCGGGGATGGACTAAGGCCGATAGTGAAGCAGCACAGGGCATCAAACTTGCTCGTGTGCGGTGTGCTATTGTCTGATGCAAATGCCGTTTGTGAAGGGGGTGCGATAGGCTGATATTTCTCGTCGCGGCAGTTGCTGGGTGTTGAGGGAGCCGCTGCTCGGGCGTCAGCGCTGATCCGGGACGGCAGCCGGCAAGAACTGACGGCTTGCATGATCACAGGCCGTAAACAGATTTGCAAGCGAGCTGAGAGGCAGGCCAGAACGAGACGTGAAGTGCACCGTGTTCGCCAAGGGCTCCCCGAACAACGGCACGCTCACACGCGAGGTGTCACGAAGTGTTTTGACACAGCCCTGCAGATCTAAATAACTGAAAGTATAGACGCGATGACGTGCCGGCCTAGCGGCTCGAGAAGGCCTTCCCGACACAAGGAATTGGCCGTGTATCCTACTCCGTACACCTGGGCGACGGGCGAATTCCGTACCAGATTCCGAAGCGGTTTGGGCCCCTCGGCGCCCATGACGAGGAGCTCGGAAAAGGAAGCGCATCGAGAAGGCCTGGCTTGGTTATCGGCGCCTCTTCATTCGCCCACCCTTGCAGCTGGCGCCACCTGGACTGGCGGCGACACGTCCATCGGCAGTGGTTCCTGGGGTGGAGCGACAGCGTGGCGTTGCAGGCTTCTGCGCGGCGACAGCTGCAGCGCCGCCTATGCGCCGCCTATGCACCGCCTATGCACCGCCTATGCACCGCGCCGACTGCAGCAAGCGGCAGAGCTGCAAGGTGCTGCTCACGTGGCGGGGAGCCGGCCGAACGGAGGCGTGTATAGCATCGCCATCGCCTTGGTTGCGGCTACACAGGCCCGGCTTCCAGAAACGAGATGCGGACTGGGGACGGCAGGCTCATCTAGCCCCAGGCGTGCGCAGCCGGAGTGGGCCGAGGGGCGTCGTCGGCGCGCAGAGGTAGTAGGGAGGGGCCCCGTACGTCGGCGGAGTCGCACGGCGGGCGATCGGGGAGGGTTGGGGTATGAGACAGTTTTTTTCCGCTTCGGGAAAGACAGACGGGAGCAAATGGCAGCGCATGAAACGTTATGGGCGCCACGGCGCAACGGCGTTCCTGGCGGCTGGTGACGACTGACGCACACCGGGCGAGGTCGGAGAGCGAACTCGGGGAGGAAAGAAGGCCGGCGAAAAGTCTGGACGGCGGGACGGTCGCGACGAACCGTGGTTGAGACGTCGAATGCTGGAGCAACGGCGGCGGGACGTTGTTGACGGTGTTTGGACGCGTGAGTCAGTGCCTCTGGGTTATTAGCAGCGCGAGGACTGGTCGGCGGGCGTCTTCAGCGGGGAAATGAGGGCTCGGCTGGCCAGATTGCTACGGGTCTCCAGCCGGGGCACGCTCTAAACACGGCGCGCACGCTCCTTTGCGACGGCCACGGCTGCGGCGTGGGCGGAGCGCACAGGCGTCATGCGGAATGCGGCGAGGCAAGGCGGGGCGGCGGGGCGTGGTGACGGGCGGGCTGCAGCGACGCAGGCACGAGAGGACGAGAGCACGAGAGGACGAGAGGGCAGCGTGTCGGCGGAGCAGGAGTGAGTGGTGGCTCAGGGCGGTGGGCGGGCGGACGAGTGAGAGGCGGCTGCGGCAACGCGCGGCATGCTGGCTGCGGGCGCTGAAACGGGCGGCGCTGAGATCTCCGTGGGCGGCAGGAGCGTTTCAGCAAATCGGCGCGCGCAGCCCTGCTCTCGCCTGGCTCAGGCCCGCCCAGCGCTTTGCTCCCGCCGATCAGCACTGGCTGGCCAGGGGGCCCGACAGCTGCAGGACCCACGACGCGCCGTGCAAAAGGCGCTGCCAATTCTCCGCCGCCACTCAATCAACTCTAAACCCTCGCTCCTTAAGTGCCCGCCTCCGCCCCAGCTGCTGGGCCCGCCTCCTCCACGGTATTTCCTTGGCCGCCCCCAGCACCGTCCTCTCCTTCGGCACTCTTCTTCTTCCTCGCCGCCAGTCGCGCGATTCTTCCACCAGGCCCGCGGCCTTCTTTCACTGTCTTGGAGCCTGATCCACCGCGGATTGCGCCCAGCCCTGCCGGAATTCTTAGCGCCGTTGCTCCCAATACAACGACCGTCACTGCGCCCCGACACCACCCTCCGTCACTCCCACCCTGGCGCCTCCAACCCTCTGAAAGACCGTCCGCCCTCGACCGCTCGCGAGCGAGCCTGGTTCATTACACTCCCTCTTGACCGTCATTGCTGGCCAGTGACGTCGCACACTCGCTCTCGACAGTAAACAAAACAACCCAACCCAACCGCAGCCATGCTCTCCGCCTCGCTCACCCCCCTTCTCCTGTCCGCCATGGTCGCCCGCGCTGCCGCCGAAGAAGCCAAGAGCCCGTCCGCGATCGCCGCCATGATGGAGGCCATCAAGGAGAACATCAACGTCTCCTACTGGCTTGGATGGACCTGGCTTGCCTGCACTGCCGCCCTGATGGTCTACCTCATTGGCATCACCTTCACCCGCTACGTGCGCGGCATTGCCTGCTTGAACAACCCCCACCAGCGCTACTTTGCCGAGCCCAACTGGTGGTATGCCCGCTTCAAGTGCTACCTGTTCGACGCGCCGCTGCTCCGCACCCGCCACCACCGTGAGTACAAGCTGTCGTCGGCCATCAACATCGGCACCCTGCCCAGCCGCCTCCAGACCATCTACCTGGTTGGCTACTGCGGCATGAACGTCGCCTTCTCCGTCATCTTCATTGACTGGAGCGACTCCGGCGCTGCTTCCGAGCTCCGCAACCGCACCGGTGTCCTGTGTGTCATGAACATGCTGCCGCTCTTCCTTCTTGCCGGCCGCAACAACCCGCTCATCAAGATCACTGGAATCACCTTCGACACCTTCAACTTGGTCCACCGCTGGGTCGGCCGCATTGTTATCCTCCAGGCCGTTGCCCACACTCTTGCCTGGATGATCCCCAAGGTCCAGGCCGGTGGTTGGGCCGCCGTCGCCGGAGCCATGGGCCACAGCCAATTCATCCTCTGGGGTACTATTGTGAGTCCGCTTCGCCTCCTTCCCACTGCCGCCTTACTTGACTAACCCCAAGCTAGGGCACTTTGTGTTTCGTCGTCATCATGTTCCAGGCCGCTGGTCCCGTCCGCCACGCCTTCTACGAGGTCTTCCTCCACTTCCACGTCCTGCTCGCTGCCCTTGGTCTCGCTGGTGTCTGGATCCACTGCCAGTCTGGTGAGCTCTACCAGTTCCCCATCATCAAGGCCGTCCTGGCTCTCTGGGTTTTCGAGCGCTTCGCCCGTCTCTTCTGGGTCATCTTCCGCAACGTTGGAAACGGCGGTACCAAGGCCGAGATCGAGTCCCTTCCCGGCGACTGCCTCCGCATCAACCTCCAGATTGCCCGTCCCTGGAAGTTCAAGACCGGTCAGCACGTCTACCTGTACATGCCCTCGATTGGCTGGTGGACCTCGCACCCCTTCTCCCTTTCGTGGAGTGAGGAGCAGGAGGCCTGGAGCGAGGAGAAGGGCATGTCCCTTGAGCGCCTTGACCTTTCTGGCCTCGGCAAGACTACTATGAGCCTGCTCGTCCGCCGTCGCACTGGCTTCACCGACGCCCTGTACAAGAAGGTCGAGCAGTGCCCCTCTGGCAAGCTTACCACGTCGGCTCTCGTCGAGGGTCCCTATGGCCACCAGGACCTGTCCTCGTACGGCACTGTCATGCTCTTCGCCGCCGGTATTGGCATCACTCACCAGGTCCCGCACGTCCGCCACCTCGTCGAGGCCTACGACAAGCGCACCGCCGCCGTTCGCCGCGTCACGCTCGTCTGGGTGATCCAGTCGCCCGAGCACCTCGAGTGGATCCGGCCGTGGATGACGGAGATCCTGTCGATGCCCAACCGCCGCGACGTGCTCAAGATCCTGCTGTTCGTCACGCGCCCTCGCTCGACCAAGGAGATCCACTCTCCTTCGTCCAGCGTGCAGATGTTCCCCGGCAAGCCCAACATCCAGGCCCTTGTCGACCAGGAGATGATGGAGGGTGTCGGTGCCTGCGGCATCAGTGTCTGCGGCACCGGCTCCCTCGCCGACGACGTCAGGCGCGCCGCTCGCAACCGCCAGACCAGGTGGAACGTCGACTTCTTCGAGGAGGCGTTCTCCTGGTAAACAGCAAAATTTACAGCGGCATGCAATCTATATCTCACACACTTCACCTTTCCATTCTAAGTGATACCAAAGAGGTGTTTCCTTCCCCTCTATTAAGTGTCTTTGTGTGCTTAGAGCGAGCGTGGCGCTTGAGGTGTTGATTCCATCCCTCCCTGCCTCATGATGGTGCGAAATGCACAAAACGAAGCCGGGCCGCCCTACCCATCCAATACATGAACGCCTCGTCCGGCGTACTCTTTCTTTTTTTCTTTTTCGGCCTCCTTCCAATTGCTACTGCTGCTGCTACTGCTGCTGCTGTCGTTCCGATCCGCTTGCTTCAAGGGTTTTCCCTCATTTCTTTCGCTGTACGATAATCGCTTTTTTGAATTCCATACTTTCTTTTTTGGCAGTCAAATTTCTTGTTTATCCATTCATTTCTACAATTAACGCAAGCGTATCACGACACGGGGAACAGGGGAGGTCTGAAGGACAAGAGGGAAAGAGAGAATTAGTAGGTGTGTGGCAGGTTCACAAATATTGCTTTATGCATCCGCGTTCGTCCCTGTTTCTAGCATATAGAAAGTAAAAAATGGCACACCGATATGAAAGTCATGATCACCAGACAACCAAAAAGCTTATGTCCTTGCTCTATCATTCGTCACACACAACCGACATCCGCACCACCCACCCACCCACTCACCCCGGTTCCCCACGTCAAAAGTATCAAGTCCCGATCAACATGCATTGCCAAGCGCGCTGATTTTCCACACGATCTGCGTGATTTCCCGCATGCATACAGAAACAGAGAGCACGGGAACGACCATCGATGGGGGGGGGGGGGGAAACACGGCACACAACCGAGAGAAACTCTCTATCTGATACTTTGGCGCCGTTGCACAATTCACGTCCACCACATGCAGCATGCACGGTGGGCGGAACCTGCCTCTTTCGTTCCCGTTCGCTTCCCGCGTCTGCTTCTCTTTCCTCTCCTCTCCTCGCCTGTGCTCTTTGCAACACCCTCCCTCCCCCCACCCCCCTAACCGCCCCTGTCCCTCCTTCACCGTTAATCCCCGTTGCCCGTGCGCTCTCTCTCTCTATCTATCTCTCTCTCTTCTCCCGTCTCGAGGAATAAAGGTTTATTTCGGTAACATGTCCCTTCCCCTCCCCCCTCTCCCTCTCCGCGATCGAATGTGCGCGCCTGCTACTTTTCTTCGAATCCAGGCACGGATCTATGCCATGTGGCCATATGTGAAGCGATGAGGGAGAGAGTGATGGGGTGGGCAAGGCGCTCGCTCTCTTCCGGACGGCTACGTGCATGAACGCGGTGGTGGGGATCCCCTGCCTCGCTATGCACAACACACAAAGATCATGTACGCGCGCGCTTGGGGAGTGTTCTTGCAGGAAGGGAAGAAAGAGACGGGGGAGGGAGAGGAGAGGTGGGAAGTCCTCGGATTTTTTTCCCTCTCTCTCTCTCGACTATGCTACTCATTATCCGACTGAATGCATTCTTCGCGCTTTGAATCTACCCCCCGTGGGTGCTGGTGTTGTAAAATGCTCTGCCGATAAGACAAGAAGTACTACGTAGTTTACTCCCTCTGCCTCGCTAGGGAGTCGACGGAGCGCGAGAGGAAAGCAAAGAAGAGGGAGAACAGCCAGCTCGGCCATCTTTTCTCTCTCTCTATCTCCCTCTCCCTCTCCCAAAAGAAAAGAAAAGTGAAAAAGCAAGATCATGATTGGTCGCCTCTTCATTTCTCCCCCCTCCCTTTCCCTCTCTCAACCGTTACATGCGGGAAGCCGCTCACTTTCGCATGCCGAAGGATCTGTCATCGGCCCTGGCCTCCGGTAGCTCTCCATCTGGCCTTTGCATTTTGTCAGAGACGGCCGAGTTTCTGCTGACTAAGTGGTTGCCGAGCCGCAATATACGAGTACAAGACTGGTTATGCAATGTTCGCGTATAGGTAGGTAGTTAAAGGAAGGTGTGTTTGGGCCTTGATATGATGCAACCGGTGGTCAATGCGAGAAGCGAGACAACTGTTAACGGCTCGCAAAGCGGCGGGAGGGGAAACAAGGGAAGCGGAGGCAAGTAGGTAAACGAGAACCATCATTGCTTCATGATCATCCGCGGGCGCGTAGCAAAATGAGGAGTGGAGCGCGCGGAAGCGCCCAAGCACGCCCGGAGAAAACCACCTCATGCGTGGGTGACTGATCCTCCGCCCGCCCCATGCAGCCAGCCCGCCGGGAGCTGCCCGTTCGCGTGGTCGTCGCCCAGACCGAGGGCCTGGCCTGGCCCCATGGCCGCGAAATAAGCGAGCGTGCATCCTCGGCTGTCGGGTGTCGCCACCTCGTGCTCCATGTCGCTTTGATTCCTGGTATGATGCTGGATAGAAAAACATGCTTCTGTAAGGTCCGTTCATGAGCTCGAGGGCGTTCTGATATCGCGAGTCACCCAGCTGGAACCCCCCAAGACATCCTTCTCTCTCTCTTTCTTTCACTCCGAACTGTTCACGCTCCTCCAACTCGACGGGCTCGGCCGCCCTACTACGCCTGCGCCTGCTCCGTTGCCGACGCCGCTGTTCCCGTCGCTCGCCGCGCCACCGGCCGCCGCCAATGCGGCAGCGGCTTCTTCGTCCGGGATGAAGGCCACCTTCAGCCTTCCGGGCACCTTGCCGCGCCACGAAAACTCGGCCGTCTCGGTGCGCACGACCAGGTCGCCGGTGATGGGCAAGTTGATGTCGATGTCTTGCCACTGAGGCAGCGATTCAGAAGACGTGCCGTCGGCAGGCTGCTGCTGGTTCTGTTGTTGTTGTTGCTGTTGTTGCTGCTGTTGCTGTTGCTGCTGCTGTTGTTGCTGCTGATGTTGGTGGTGGAGATGCTGCTGAGGCTGGGAGAAGGAGCTTGAGTTGGAGTGACTGCTGACGGCCATGGTGTTGGCAGGACCGGCGAGGTGGTGCTGCTGTTGCTGCTGCTGGTGATGGGATGAGAAGCCACCGTTGGCGCTGCTCAGGCCGTTGAAGCTGTGGATGAAAGGCTCGCCGGAAGCGGCCGAGGGCGGGAAGAAAGGGCTCTGGGTGGCAGCGGCGGCAGACTGGCGCGGGTACATGGCATTGGGGTGCGGTTGCGGTTGCTGTTGCTGTTGCTGTTGCTGTTGCTGTGGCTGCTGCTGCACGTCCCCGTGCTCGTGGCGGGCCTTGGTCTGGGCCTCCTTCTCCATGCGGCGGCGCTTGTACTCCTTGCGCCAGGCGGCCTGCTGCTGCTTTGCACGCTCGGCACGCTCCTCGTCGGTGAGGTTGAGGCGCGGGCGGCCCCGCTTGCGCTTGGCGGGCTCTGGGGTTGCGGCCTGAGAGACGGGGACTTGCTGTTGCTGATCGGCCCTTTGGTGGTGGGTCTGCTGTGGCTGAGCGGGGCGCGGCTGGGCGTGTGGCTGGTGTTGCTGGTGGTGCAGGGCCTGGGCGGGTTGCTGCTGCTGCTGCTGCTGCTGGTGCTGTTGCTGGTGCTGGCGCTGGTGCTGGGCGTGGGCGGAAGGAGCCATATGCTGCTGGTGGATTGGCTGTGACGGCGGGACGGGCTGGGGCTGGGGCTGGGGATCCATGGCGACGTATTGCTGGTAGTAGGCAGCGGGATTCTGCGGAAAGAAGGCAGGGTCGGCCGTGTTGACGGCAGAGAGTCGCGACGCCATTGTTCGGGACCACCGCGCGCGGCGGGCGGCCGGAAAGGTGCAGACTTTAAGGACCGGGGCTCCGAGACAGGGCTTTGGGCGGCGTGTTAGGGCTTCCGGTGGAAAAATAAAAACAAAGGCGGGCGTGGTGAGCGGAGAAAAAGAAAAAAGAGCAGAGCAAAAGAAAATGAAAAAGGACGATTTGGGTGGCCCGCGGGGGCGGATCGACCAGCTGTTTCAAGATAATCGGTTATTTATATGCAGATGGTCTTTCGCCCCCTTGATTACTTAGCCATGCATAGACGGCCGATTGACCAAGCTTTTATTTTATATACCCTCAAAGCTAGTTGCTAGCGCATAGCAGCATTGGAATCAGCAGTCTTACAATCCTTTTAGCACCCCGCAAGAGCCGGTCAAAGCATCTACTTGATCGGTTACGCCACATAAATAAGCGGTCAGGGGGGCTGAACACGGCGGCTGGCTGGCTACCGAAGCACAGGCCACAAGGCCCGGCAACCAAGGCAATTTTTCTTTCTTTTTTTCCCCCTAGCGGCAGTCAATAGGAAAAAGAACCGACCCTTTGCCTGTCACACGTCATGCTCTACCATGCTTTTCGCCAAAGACCGGCACCGCTCCCGGCCGGCGGACAAGTCATTTTATTCACCTCCGCCGCTGCCCACTGCAGACTGGCGCCCGCCTTCCTGCTGCTGCCTCTTGATGCTTCCGCCGCCCCGCCAAGACTCCAACCTGCAACACCACCCCCCTTCCCCTTTTAACGCCTCGCTCCTCTCACTCCGCACGCCATCCTCTGCACTCGGCGTGCTGCTTTCTGCCTCGCTGTTTTCGTGTTGAGAAGATGTAGCTGTAATGACGCACGACTCTATGGGCATCGAAAGAAGATGTCCGGACGTAAATGTAGATTTAACCAATCGTTCTCCATGGGTACTCGAAGAAAATGTCCGGCTGTAGATGCGAGTATTAGAGTTGTACAAACGCACACTTGTGTAAGCACAGAAAGCCACCCAACACTAAAAATGCAAAGAAGGAAGCCCCTTTACGTATTCAAACGCTTCTCTTTCGGCTCCTCTTCCTCCTCTTCCAGCTTCTCCACCTCCTCTTCTGGCTCCTCATCCTCCGACCCCTCCTCATCCTCCCGCCCCTCCCCCTCTCCCTCCCACTCCTCGTCATCCTCCCATCCCTCCCTCTCCCCATCCTCCCCCTCCCCCGCAAGCTCCTCCGCCAACTCCCAACCCAACCTCCCCCTCACCGCCCCCCACCCCCTCCTCACCACCTCCGCCAGAACCACACCAGCCGAACCCTCCTCCTTTCCCCCCTCCCCCTCCGCCGACCCCGCCGCCGACCCCGCCACCAACAAGCCCACCGCCTCCTCCACCCTCACCAACCGGCTCTCATACAGCCGCTCTTCCGCACTCGCGGCCGTGCCCGGCCATCTGGGCGGTTGGTAGCCGGCCGGCTCGTGGCGGACGCGGTGGGTTAGGCGGGGGTGGTCGTTGGCGGTTGCGGTTGCGGTTGCGGTTGCGGTTGCGGCGTCGGCGTGGTTGGCGGTTGCGGGGTTGTGGTTTGATTGTGATCGTGGTGGTGGTGGTGGTGGAGGGGCTCGAGGCGCGGGGGTGAAGGGCGTGCGGGTGGGTGGGTCGGGGTTGGTGGTGTCGAGGGCGGGCGGGAGGGTTTCGGCGACGTAGAAGAGGAGGATGTGGTTGGGGGTGCCGGCGGGCTCGGAGACGGTGTAGATGGGGTGGGTGGCGAAGGGGGAGAAGGGGTGGTGGTGGGGAGGAGAAGAGCGGTTGGAAGGGGAAGAGTAGTTATACGAAGAATGCGTGGGAGTCGATCTGGGGTGGGTGGGTCTGGTTGCCGTGTGGCGGCGGCGGCGGGGAAGAGCAGAGGGGCGGCGAGGAGCAGGCCGGTGGCGGTGAGGAGCGGCGGCTCCGGCTCCGGCTCCGGCTCTGGGGATTTGGTCGCGGAGGATGGGGACGGGGAGGAGGCGGTTTCGGTAGCCGCTCTGTGGTGCGTTGATATTGTGAGTTATATTGCGTTCGGGACGTGTTGGTGGAGCTTACTTCTTCAAAGCCCTCCCGCTCCGCAGCGTGGGTGCACCCCTCACCGGCTTCGCGGCGGCCTTTGGGCAAGAACCAATAGTGTTTGCGGGTGTGGTAGCAGAGAACGACGCGGGCGGAGGCGACGTGGAAGATGGCAACGCCGCAGCCTATCACGAGATCCTCCGACGGAAAAGAGGCAGCCACCGACGGGGCCGAGTCATGGACAGGCCGAGGCTGCGCGGGGACGCGGACAGCCAGCAGCTCTTGGATTCTGTCAGGCATTGGGACGGCAGACGTCTATTCTTTGGCACTATGTTAATTCCTCGCAGGTGCCAGAAGCTCGGGCTCGGAGGTGATGTCATTCGGCTGCTAGACAGCCTTGGCCCCACCTGATACAAGCAGCAATGCAGCAATACCATATACATCTTTGTCCCAACCGGAATGATTTTAGACCAACCAACACGCAACCGCCAGGGGTATACTCGGACCAGTCTCCGCTCCAATGTGATGATCCAACCCAAAAATAGACACCATGCAACCAAATGTCCTCCACCGCCAGAGAACGCCAAACAGAGGGGCACAATGCCCCAAAAGCCAAATGGTCAAGGGGGTGAGGAAGAAACACCTACAGGAAACTGAGCTCATCCTCGCTGTCATCGGCGCCATCCAAGCCCAACGCTGCGCTCAATGTAGCAACCGTCGTCGAGCGGCTTCTAGCCATGGCAGCAGCGCCGCCGCCGCTCTCACTTGCCCGCTTGCTTGCGGGCAGCCGGTCTGGACTCGCCTGCCGGACAGGACTGGTGAGGGCGAGCTCATCAGTCTCGTACCCTCCAGAACTATCGACGGACGGGGTGCCTTCAGACGCCGTTTCGTCATCATCATCATCGTTCCGCAGAACCTTGAGCGCGGCAGGAGTGCTGGTCATCACGGGCGTGCTGGGAGGAGCCGAAGCGGCGGCAGCAATCCTTTGGGAAAAGGCCGCGGCGGGCGTCTTGATGCCGAGGACGTCGGGGCTCTGCGCCATGAGGAGCTGTGATAGCGTGGGGCGCGCTGGAGTCGACACCACCTTCGATGATTTCGCTGGCGTCGATGTCGATGGCGGTTCGGGAGGGGAGGCTTCGGCTTCGGCCGCGGGCTGCGTGAGAGACTTGCGCACGAGAGGCGTGGCCTCGACCCACTCCGAGATGCCCGAGTCCCAACGGTACCCGGCGTGGTAGTCGGCGTCTTTGTGGAAGAATGTGATGTTGTGCTGTGGCATCTGGATGTTTTCCATTTCCTTCTCGATTTCGAGCGTGTACCGCAGATACTCGCCGCCGTCGCTGACTACGTTCGCCAGCGTGAGCTTTTTCGAAATAACATGTCACGGGAAGACTTACAATCGGGGCCCCGAGATCGATTCGCAAACTCGTGGGCAGAATCTAGAGCTAGGCGTTTCAAGATCCATGAAGAAGCCCAATCGATCCCCCATCTGCTGGAAGCAGTGGGTCCAGTGAATTTGCCGTCATCGAAGGATGACAGCCGATAGGACTTTAGCGCCTCCACAGTTGACCTTAGGACTAGAAAAACGTTCTGTGTCGTCTTCGGATAATACGCCTTTCCGCACGTTTCAGCCACCGAGCAAACAATGCCAGGGAGATTCAGCAACTGTTCTTGGGTTATCCCTTCAAGCCGTGCCAATGCTCTGATGTAGAGTGGAACCGGCGCTGCGGCCATGTTCGGATCGCGATCGAATGTGCAAACACCAACAATGATAGCACATGTAAGGACATTGCTCAACCGCTCGATGATCGAGCTGGAACCGGAAATCGCGTCGTCGAAATGGCCTTCGAGAACGTCCGTGGTGATGTCTGTAGCAGTCATTTCGAGCGTATGTTGGATCGCATCTTTGCCTCTTCTGCCAAAGCTTGCCTCTCTGTCCGGAAGGAGACATATCGCTGCGAAAATAGCCGATAGAGATGCAACGGTGGTGTTCAAGGCATTCTTTACCGCGCTGCTCACGCCCGTTGGCTGTGCACAATTGGCTTCCGAGCCCGGAGACTCCTCGTTGATGCGGACCAAGGCTTTGCCACACGCAATGGGAAGGAAGGCATTGGCGAGTCTGCAAGCTTCTGCGTGGGCCGGGTCCCTTGCATTGGAGATGTGTTGAATAATCCTACTCCAGACAGCCTTGAATTGCATGGTTGCGGTCCACTCAACGGAAAGAAGGTTGGAGGTCAGCATGCTGCGTAGTAAGCGGTAGAAGAAAGACCATGCTTCCACTGCCTCTGCCCAAGCGTAGGCCGTAGCGATGGCACTGAACTGTCGGGCGTCGGAGTAGATGAAGTCGTCCTTGGCCGTCTTCGGCGGCGGGAATGGTGCTGTGGCGGACATGAATGCGGTCAGGATACCCTCTGCCTCGTCGTAAGCGAGCGACTCGCGACACAAACTAACAAGCTCCTTTATGTGGTTAATGTCCAGAAGTTCGTCTTCAACAGCCGCCGTGACAAGAGCAACCCCGTGAGCACGCGTGACTTCCCTTAGAGGTCGCCAACCCGCGGCCGTTCCCATTTGTTCGAGCTCCTCGTAGACTTCTTCACTGGCATCCACCTTGTGGTCGTTCTCCTCATCCTCCCATTCCTGTCGGCCTTCGATGTAGACAGGGACCTGGCGCAGGCAGGTAGACATCAACGAGCGCGTACCAGTTCTCGTTGCCCGGCTCCTCCCTTGACTTTGCGTTGCGTGAAGTAGAGTCCGGAATGCCTGCAAGAGGCGGTCAATGTGCCGCCGCTGCTGAATGGTCAATCTATTGTTAACCCTGCCATTTTGACTACGGTTCAGCATCGAGAAGGCGCGCTTCTTGGGAGTCTGTAAAGACTGGCCACTAGCAGGCTTTGGAGATGCTGCGCGTGGAGAGCCGTTCAAGCTGACCTGGCGGACGATCAGAGGCGTGGGCATGGAGATCTCGCCAGGCTTGCGTGCATGAAGCGCCGGGCGCGCTTCGGCCTTGGAGGTGCGGTTGCTGTAAATACGCTTGCTTCCCTTTTTCTCAGCAGCATTTGGAATCCAGTCTGGATCGTCGACGCCCCTTCGACGGCCGGCGCCCTCTGTTTCTTCGTCATCCTGCTGCTTGGCGCACGAGGGCGGCTCATCCTTGGACGAAGGCGCCGATGAAGACGCCGCGCTTGCGTGCAGCTGTGGGTAGACGAGCTCCCTTACAACTCTAATCTGCGCCGTAACGGGGCGAAGCAGTCTGTTGCAGCGCGCAGCTGTCCAAGGTGGCTCTCCTGCGGTCGCGGAGTCTAAGTACACGGCTACTGTTTAGAGTCAATCGGCCTTCGCAAGCGGGCAAATAGGACCATACTGTTTCTAGAATGCGGCATAGCGGATGCTAAGCTATTATGCTGGTTATGATGTTGAGCTATGATGCTGACAACGCGGCGGAAACTGGTGCTGTCGCGACGTCGAGGCGCGTGGTGTTGACAAACAAACCCCATCGGCCCCGGACTTACCCGGCGTCCGCGCTAAGCCTAGTTGGGAAATGCGCCACCTCCGAGTCCGCCCACAACACGCAATAAATCCTCAATTGCAAGTCTTCCAAGATGACGTCAATGAAAATTTGAAATTGATTTGAAGTCAAGCCATCTAAAGTAGGTATCAGAACTAGAAACGAACAGCCCCCCGGTCAAAGCGCCACGCTTTGCCTGAACCACCTCTAAGCCTCGACGATGCATTCTAAAAGACCACGAACGAAATGCAAAAAAAAGAATGAAAATACTAGATGATGTTTTTGCCACGGATTGCGCTCAGTTGTCATCGTCATCATCGACATCCTTCAGACCAGGCAGAGTCTCGAACGTCGTCTCTTTCTCGACGTATCCTTTGGCATTGCGCGTCGTGACCTTGTACTTGCCGCCCTCCCAGAGGTCCTTGATGGTAAGCTCTCTGGTTCTGCCCAAGCTCTCAATGTCGCCAATGCGCTCCAACGTCTTTTCGAGGAATTTGTCGAAGCCGGGTTGACTGCAGATCTCGCGGAAAGCTCTTTGCATCGGAACCGAATCTGCACCGAGTCAGTTTTCATTGCAAAGGAGAGGCGCACATCGGAATCGCCACGTACCGGCTCTGACCATGGCCTTTGAGTCAATTGTGAAGACGTTGATGTGATCATAGCTCTGAATGAAATCGGCACGCGTCATGATTTCCCTTGCCTTGTGAAGAGGAATCTGCGGAAGAATGTGTCCCTTTTCAGGGTCGTAGGTCTCGTCCATTTCCCTTTCTTGGTCAACCAGCGCTTTCGCTAGAACCATAGCCGCCGACTGAGTAAGACATCAGTAGAGTTCAAAAAAAAATGATAGCAGGAGATACTTACAGCGTACTTCTGCTGGTCCATGACGTCGTCATCCATTTCCATACCGAGAACCCAGCACTGGTTGAGGAACCACGTCTTTTCTGCTTCACAAATCTTATCACAAAGACTGATCATGTCTCTGGACTTGGCGACGCGGCTAAGAAACGAAAGCCGGCCACCAATCTTGTCGTAAATGGTCTCCAAGAGCTGATCGTTGGGCGTTTCCCCGTGCCATTTCCACCGGTAGTGCTTCAATGCAGAAAGCGCCTTCTGCTTGTCCAGATCTCTGACAGGGGTAACTTCCATCCTAGTCGCGTACTGCTTGAGGCGCTCATAGACCCAGTAATCATCGCTGTTTAGAATGACAGTGACGAGGCTGGCAGCGGCCCATTGTTCGGCGCGCTGCTGCAGGAGCTCGAGAAGGTCTTTTCCCTCGTCGTCGTCCCGGATGAGATGGACGCTGTTGATGACAAGGATGAGTGGGCGTCCAAGCTTGTCTCTGCGTCTGATTGCAACCTTCTCAAGCTTGTTGAAGGCTCTCTCGACATCAAGCAGCGCTGAAGCATCCCTAGGGCCTCGGATGGAAAACAGGGAGCCGATGTTGTCTTCGTGAAACTCAAAGTCCAATGCCTTGCCAAGGCGGATCCGGAATATTTCTGGGTCCGCGTGGGCTTCGAACATGGCGACACCATCTCCGTCGATCTTTGACATGGCTTCGATTAGCATGGAAGTTTTGCCAGTGCCTTTCTCGCCGATGAGCAGGTGGTATCGGCCCTTGTCCTCTCCACGCATGATGGAGTCAAACTTGGCCTGTTCTTCACGGACAATCCAGGAACCATCCTCTGCCTCCTCGCGGCGAGGGGGCCTGCCACGAGCAAGGTCCAGGACAGGGTCACCCGGGTTGAAAGCGTTGTCCATTTTTGCCAGGACCATGTGCTTGTAATACCTGGTGTAGCTGTAGCCTACGAACCTGTTTGCGAGTAGTCAATTAGTGGTCGTCCGGAAAGCATGCAACACACGGGCCACCTACCCAAGGACGGCGACGGAAGCGAAGGTAGTCATGGCACTCTCGAACATCTTGAAGGCCGTCTCACGGTAGTCATTGGCGCCGTGAGCCTGGCCGGAATGCGACTTCTTCTGCCGGTCGCTGTCATCAGGACCAGCTTCGGTGGGATCGGGCTGGCCGGGCTGTGGCGCAGGCGAGCCTCCTGAAATGAGGCGTCGGGCGTGGTGTTGGAACTGGGGGGCAGCAACAGGCGCCCGCGCCAGTTGTGCGGCAGTGTAAGCGGTATGGCGCCGGCTCGCCAGAGTAGATCTGGCTGATCGCTGGAGCCGGGGTAGTGCGGGCTGCAGCCTCCGCAGCCGCAGGGCAGGAGCCGCGCAGCCGTACATGATTATTGAGTGCAAACGAGGGTGCGATGAATAAGTCCGAGAACAAGCCGGCCAGCGAATGGGCGGGCGAGAGAGCGAAAAGAAGGAACGGGCGGGCGAAAGAGAGTGTGCGAGGAAAGGGAGCGAAACGAACGAACGACTGGAGTCAGAAACAGGGAAACTTGGAAGAGTGCGAGAGTGCGCGGCCGGCACGCAGATTAGTGGTTTAGTCTCTCCTGTGCTGCGCAAGCTTGGCGGAGCGCAAATCGCAGAGGCGGAGCAGGAGTCAGACCGCGCAAAGGCCGCCGTGTCGCGTGCTGCATGGCGCCGAGAAACGCGCGAGCCGGCCGGCGTGCCGGCGTCATCGACTTCCCTGCGGCTGGCTTTGGCAGGCGGTCGGCCGTCGTCGGTCGTCGGTCGTCGGTCGTGGGTCCAGCGGCGAAGCTGCCGGCCGCGGGCCCGTGCGTGGCAGACGCGGCGGCTGTGGGCGATTCGGGGAAGACCGGCTAACTTGGTCAGAAATCCTCTAAACTTTTCGAGCTCGCAGCAGCAGCCCCAACACCCTCCTCCACACCTCCATCCTCTCCCTTTAGATGCGCCCGTGGCCCCGCTTCTCCTGAGCTCGGCGCGCCTCCATTGTCTTTCCCTCAGAGCACCGTCCCTTCTCAATTGGCCCGCTTCGACTTTTCCACCATGGCCGCGAATGACGCCTCGACTCCAGGTGAGTGTGTCCGTCTGGCCCGCTCTGCACCGGAGCCCCAAGCCCGCGTGCGATTGGCCGCTCTGCCCTGGCCGCCCATGCTGACACTGCCTTGCCTCCAGCGAACGCTGAGCCGACGCTCGAGGAGTCGAACCTGAACGGAGACGTCGTTGCTGGCGAAAACGGCGAGCAGGAGCAGCCCGTGGAGAGTATGTGATCCCATTGCCATTGCTCAATGCCGCCACCCACCTTGGACTGGCCGCTGATGCCTACCCGCCCAGATGTCTTCACGCTCAACGTCCAGCTGCCGCACGAGCCGCACCAGACTCAAGTGATTGTCAGTCAAGTTCCGCTTTGCAAAAACGCCAACCCCATGTGCTAAACCCCCGCAGGCATCGACGCAAGAGCAAGTCCAGGACCTCCGTCAGTCCATCATCGATTCTCCGCACACCTTCCAATACTCCTGCTTCCATCTCGAGCACAACGGCGAGCGCATCAATGACTTCGTCGAGCTTTCCGAAGTCCCCGGCATCGGCCCGGACGCCGAGATCACGCTGGTCGAGGATCCATACACTGAGAAGGAGGCCAGGATGCACTTCATCAGAGTGCGGGAGCTTATTGGCGCTTCGGGAGACAGGACCGACACTGCTCACGGCGCCCAGGCTGGCGTTTCCCTACTCCATGATGTCTCGGCTAAGATCGCTGCCGACGAGAAGGCGGAGGGCACTCCTCTAGACAGCTACGATCTCGAGTCGCCTGCCGAGATCAAGACTGTGCTGCCCCAGCCCCAGGATGCGGCGCCAAAGACCGTCAAGGCCATCTCGCTGTCGCCCTGGAACCCTCCGCCGTACCACCTCCGTTCGAAGGGCCACCTGCTGTACCTTCAGGTCACCACCAACGAGGGCGAGCAGTACCAAGTCACCTCTCATGTCTCTGGCTTCTACGTGAACAAGTCGACCAATAACAAGTTCGACCCGTTCCCTAGGGCGGCGCCGAAGGACATTGCCGCGCACTCTTTGCTCACGCTTGTCCAGAAGCTGTCCCCCGGCTTTGACGAGGCGTTCCAGTCGCTCCTCGAGTACAACAACGCCAAGGATCCGCTTGCCATGTTCCAGCTGTCCAACGCCATCCCTGCCAGCCCGTGGCTCGTTTCGCCACCGACTTCTGCCGTGAACAGCCACCAGGCTGACATTACCCGCACCCAGGAGAACTACCTCATTTCCGGCCTGGAAAGCGCAGACAACCTCAGAGACTGGAACGAGGAGTTCCAGTCCACCAGGGAGTTGCCCCGGGAAACCGTCCAGGACCGTGTCTTCCGCGAGAGGCTGACTTCCAAGCTTTTCGCCGATTACAACGAGGCCGCTGTCCGCGGTTCTGTTCTTGTCGCTCGCGGTGAGGTCGCACCTCTAAACCCGACGGAGAGCAAGGATGCTCAAATATTCGTCTGGAACAACATCTTCTTCTCCTTCGGTGCCGACGGCGTTGGTACCTTCGCCACTGATGGCGGTGACGAGGCCGCGCGCGTCGCTACTGGTAAGGACGTCATGGGTGTCAAGGCTGTGAACCAGCTTGACATTACCGGCCTCTTCACTCCCGGTACCGTTGTCGTTGACTATCTCGGCAAGCGTATTGTCGGACAGAGCATCGTGCCCGGTATCTTCAAGCAGAGGGAACCTGGTGAGCACCAGATTGACTACGGTGGAGTTGAGGGCAAGGACGTTGTCGCGGAGAATGAGACTTTCGCACCCTTGTTCGAGCAGCTGTCGAAGGCTCTGAGGGTCAAGAAGCACGCTGTTTGGGACAAGGAGAACAAACGCCATGATCTTGAAGGAAGTGTTGAGACCAAGGGTCTTCTTGGAACTGACGGCAGGAAGTACGCACTCGACCTGTATAGGATTTCTCCCCTTGATGTGACTTGGCTCGAGCAGTACTGGGAGGAGCCCACCGAGGACGGCAAGTCAAAGGACAAAGAGAAGGACTACCCTCACAGGATGGCTGTTCTCAGATCCGAACTCGTTGAGTCCTACGGACGCACTAAGCTTAGGGAATACATCAGGGCTGAGCTCGCCAAGCGTAACGAGGCGAAGGAGGCCGCTAAGAAGGAGGAGAAGACCGAGGAGAAGGCCGAGGAGAAGGCCGAGGGCGAGAAGGCTGATGGCGAGAAAGAGGTCGAGAAGGAGGGTGACGGGGAAAAGAAAGAAACTGAGAACGAGCGGGTCGATATCTCCGGCTTCCAGTTTGCTCTCAACCCCGACGTCTTCTGCGGCCAGGTCCCCCAGACTGAAGAGGAGAAGCAGGAGTACGCGAAGGATGAGGCTGAGGTCCGAGCCGCCTGCGAGCACCTCACTCAGGAGGTCATCCCCCGCCTCACTCGCGACCTTCAGGAGGGTGATGTTGGCTTCCCCATGGACGGTCAGTCTCTGACTAGTCTGCTGCACAAGCGCGGTATCAACCTGAGGTATCTCGGAAAGATCGCGACCTCGGCAGACAAGGAGGAGCCCAGGCTGAAGGCTCTGAAGCGCCTCGCGATTCAGGAGATGATCGCTCGTGGTTTCAAGCATGTTGCCAACGACAAGCTTCGCTACCTTCCTTCTCCATTCTCGGGTGCTTGCGTTGCTCACCTGCTCAACTGTCTGCTTGGAGCCGAGGTTAATGCGAACCCAGTCGCCGAGATTGACGCTTCCCTCAGGGCGCTCTATGCCGACGCTGACTTTAGCTTTGAGACGCTGACGCCGGAGACCCTCAAGGCTGCTATCGTCGAGGAGGTCAGGCAGAGGTTCCGCTTTGATCTGGGAGCTAACTGGATCGAGGCCGGCAAGGAGCTCCAAGTGCTTCGTGAGGTGTCTCTGAAGCTTGGTCTGCAGCTTGAGGCCAAGGCTTATGCTTTCACCAAAGAGGACGCCGCAAAGGTCACCGAGTCTGAGCCTTCCGACGCTACCCTCAAGCCCACGACAAACGGCCACACTTCTGGTTCTGGCAAGAACAAGAAGAAAAACATCAAGAGCGCGGATCGCTCCCCTGCCCGCACTGCTTCTCCTGCTGCTCCGGCTCAGAAGGTCACCTTCCGTGCGGACGATGTTCAGAACGTTGTCCCCATCGTCAAGGAAGCCTCGCCCAAGGTAATTGTCCCCCCCCCCATTCAGTCGTATATCACAGCTAACACAGTCACAGAGCGTTCTTGCCGAGGAAGCCTTGGAGGCGGGCCGTATTTCGATTGCTCAGGACCAAAAGGAGCTTGGTAACGAGCTTCTCCTCGAGTCCCTCTCCCTGCACGAGCAGATCTACGGTGTCCTCCACCCCGAAGTCGCTCGTGTCTACCACCAACTTTCCACTCTATTCTACGGCCTGGAGGAAAAGAACGCGGCCGTTGAGCTGGCGCACAAGGCCGTCATCGTCTCTGAGCGCACTCTTGGTGTCGACTCGTCCGAGACGGTCCTGGCTTACCTGAACCTCGGCCTTTTCGAACATGCTAACAGCAACACCAAGGCGGCTCTTGGCTACATCCGCCACGCTCTTGAGCTGTGGAAGGTCATCTACGGTAACAAGCACCCCGACTCGATCACCACCATCAACAACGCGGCTGTCATGCTTCAGACCATGAAGCAGTACCACGAGTCTCGGTTGTGGTTCGAACAGTGTCTGTCGATTAGCGAGGAGGTGTCGGGTAAGCAGTCGATCAACACGGCTACCCTGCTCTTCCAGCTGTCGCAGGCTCTGGCTCTCGATAGGGACATGCACTCGGCCGTCAACAAGATGCGCGAGTCGTTCAACATCTTCAACACGATCCTCGGCCCCAACGACCGCAACACCAAGGAGGCTGAGTCGTGGCTCGAGCAGCTCACGCAGAGCGCCGTCACGCAGGCCAAGCAGGTGCGCGATGTGCAGGCCGGCCGTCTGCGCCGCATTCCCCTCACGCCGCGCACGAACCTGCGCCCGCAGCCGAGCGTTGGACAGACGGCGTCGGAGGCGGCTGGCGCGCCGTCGTCGAGCGATGCGGCGGGCGGTGTTGACATGCACACGAAGAGCATCGAGGAGCTGGTTCGCTACATTGAGGGCGACGGGCCGAAGAAGAGCACGCCGAAGAAGAAGCAGCAGAAGGGCCCGCGGAGACCGGGCCGTGCCGGCGGTAACTAAAGGCGCGTTTGGGAGTTTGTGCTGTAGCGCAGGGAAAAGTTCTGCTGCATTGTATCATGCTCGTTTCTCCTCTTCGGTTGTGATTTTCTCCATCTCCCCGTTTTTGGTACATACTTGCCTCACTCTCCTCTTTTCAGCATTATTGGACATGATGACTGGAGGGCGGTTGCGGTTGCATTTGGGGATGGCATGGGTACACATATTCGGCGCTGGTTATTACTGTGACTACCACTCAAAAAAGACTCGCCGCTCTGGATCGAAGCGATCCGCGTTCGAAAACTGTACTATACGATATACATGTAGAAACAAAAAGTGCGCTCTAGGTTGTCGTTGGATGATGGACTGCGTGACTGCCTTGATATGGAGGCCAGTGCCAAGCCGTGATGACGCAAAAGGAAGGCCCGTGCTCCGCCCAAACAATGGACGCCAAAACACCAAAGCTTCTCCCGTGCACTGTTGCCATCAACACCACTGCACACCCCGCCATCCTCATCGCCGCAGCCCTGCAACACCACTTCACCCGGTGCAAATCATGGTGTCGAGAAAGGAGATGGCCCGCCAAGATGGGACTGCCATGCCCACCGCCTCAGCCCCGCCGCCCACGCCCGCAGCGTGTCTGCCAGGCTACGTGCGCTTCCCGCTGCTCATCGTGCTGAGCCTCGCCACGTCATTGTCGCTGCTCTCGGCCACGTCCGAATTCATAGACCCTCAGCTGCGCGAGGTGTCGCAGAGCTCTTCGTCCAACGAGGACGTGAAGGTTCTGTCGTCGATAGCGTGGAAGCTGACGGAGCTGTCGGTGGCATGGTTTGGAAACTTTGACGGTAAGATCATCCTCACCTCTCCACGCCTCACTCACCTACCCACCCACCCAATGCCATCCATATCCAAGCCAGCCACGCAGACGCGTCACCCCCAAACCAGCCGCTAACATGCTGGGCCACCACCACCAAAAACAGACATCGACCTCGTCGCCCTCTCGGTCCTCACCCACGCGCCGTGGTACTACCTCCTAACCACCTTCTACGCCGTGGAACCCACCACCGCCCTCCTCTGCCTCGCCATCGACGCCCTCTCCCTCGCCGGCCCCACGCGGCTCCTCCGCCCGCGCTCCCCGCAACACAACCCGCGCGCGCCCCGCGCCGCAGTCCCAAACGCGGCCATCCTCGCCGACGCGCAGACGACTTTCGCCACCGCCCTGCTCGCCGCCGCCGTCCACGCCGTCGCCCTCTTCGCCGCCCTGCAGTCGTTCCTGCCCGCCTTCCTCGCCGTCCGCTTCGACGGCCTCGCCTCCCTCGAGGCCGCCCACGCCGCGACCGTCCCCGCGCTGCTCGCCGCCCTCGTCCCCGTCGGCTTCGCGGCGAGGGAGTTCGTCCTCGTGCCCGCGCTCGCGGCGCGCGAGTCGAGCGCGGATGCGGCGCGCAAGGCGGCCGCCGCGTTCGACCCCGCGACGAGCGGCCTGCGCGAGCATCTCGTGCATAATCTTTGGTGGTTCGGGAAGGGGGCGAGGGTGTTGGTCAAGCGCGCGGCGGTGGCGGCGGCGCTGACGGCGGCGCATGTGGGCGTGCATGCGAGCGCGATGCTGAGGGGGGGCGATGTCGTGGGCGCGTTGGGGTATGCGGGCGTTTGGGTGGGGGCGGGGGTCACGACGGGGGTGGTGTATGCGTGGGTGGAGAATGTGTGAGTGGGTGGAGTGAGTGGAGGCAGGGGAGGTAGAGGAGGGAGGGAGGGAAGAAAGGAAGAAAGGAGGAAAAGAAGAAGACAAGCCATGCCGACTTGGTCCTTCAGGCTTTTCCATTTCTTTTTTTTTCTTTCCGTGCAGGAAGAAGCTTTGCTCTCGATTTGGATGGCGGAAATGGGGGGAAAACCGGGCCGGGGGAAGTAGAGGCAGGCGGACTTGAGCTGCTTCTTCTTTTTTCTTTCTCTCTTCTTCTCCCAGTTGAAGGACAAGAGAAGCCTGATGGATTGATATAAGCAAGAGCGGAGATGGATGTTACTCTCAGGTATAGGAATGGATGGTGGGGACGAACACTTGGAAGTCGAAATGGGCGTCTGACTGAATAGCTTTTGGGGGGCGGCAGTTTGGGACTGACTGCAGCAGTAAGTGCCCACTGCGGTTTGTTTCTTGCATTGGCTGGCTGGCTGGCGAGAAATATTCGGTAAAACAGGAAGCGCAGTGGCAATGGCTTCATTTCTTTTTTTTCCCTTCCCCCTGGGCCTCCTCCTCCTCTTCGTTGGGTATTGATGTGACGACGATGATTGGGCGCTACTTGCGGTTTCTTGGCTTGCGGTATTTTCTTCGGCGCAATTGTTTCGATTTGCGACTGTGTGTGTCTGTGTCTGTGTCTGTGAACGGTGGGCGTGAGCGTGGGTGTGGGTGTAGAAGTCCTTATGTCTGTTCTCTGGAGTCTTTCGGGGGTAGGGGGAGGGTTTTTTAATCATCAACTTATCACCAGGCGGCGTGTATGGAGATTCTTCGCTGAGCGTTGATGCTGTTGCACAAATGGGTACCGTGTCCATGTCGTCGTTGTTCGTTCTTCCCGTTTGCTTTTCACTCTCCGGCTACTTGGGGTGGCAGTACCATTTGTCTGAACACAGAAAAAGTTGCGCACCTGTCTGTTGATGTATGGGGTGTACGCTTCATTCAGTAGTCGCTGCAATGCTACCCACGCATCGTTTGGCTTCGTTGCGATATCTAGTGTATGCATATGCAACTCTCATCGCTGTGTCTTCTCTCCAGAACACTAGCGCTCTACTCATTTCCAGCATGAGAGACCCTATATCGTGATATACCTACACTCCAATCCAATCGCGGGTTCGAGTTTGACTGTAGGCCAAACCTCCCCGGCCAGCAAGACGACGACGCCATCACCCTTCGTCGTCGTCGTCGTCGCTGCCTCCCTGCCTTTCTTCCAGCCCTTGTCCTTGCAAGAAAACCGGCTAAGAAGCTCTGGGCGGTGTCTCACTCACGTTTTTTATTTCTTTTTTTCCTTTCCTCCATAGTTTTCTTCTCTCCTTCTCTCCTTCCCTTTCCTCTACACACCCGCCCGCTTACCTTGAGAGAGAGTCGAGAGCTCGGTTGTGAGCAATACGAATGGGGAGGGGAGGGGAGCGAGCGATGAGTTGGCGCCGACGACTTCCGTCTCCGTCACTCTCGTCTATTGCCGTACCTAGGCAAGTAGTGTCGTCTCGGCTCATCTCGCTCCGCTCTCGTGTGGCTCCCCCACTCCACACCTCGTCTCCTGAGGATTGACTACGTAATAGAGAGCGAGAGAGAGAGAGAGAGAGACAGAAAGGGCACGCGCGCTCACGACACACAGACGATGAATCGGAAACAAAGGAGGCCGCCCTTGTTTTTGTTTTATTTCGCGATGCGACGCGACGATAGTCGAGCGAGCTTGTCTCGATTATCGAGACGTACGGACGGCGCACGCCCTTTCCATGTCGATTAGATTTATCTTGCTGTTGTTGTTGTTGTTGTTCTCGTTGTTGCTGCTTTGGTCCGATATGCGATAGCCGAAGTGGGCAGGGTTAGGGGTAGATGCTCGCTTGCGCCGAAGGGGCGGAAGGGGGAGGATATGCAGGCAGACAGACTCGACACTTCATTTTCCGTTCCCATCACCAGTCGATGGGAGGAATTAAGACGCTATCATTTTTCTTGTCCCCCCC